AGCTGATGTGAGGTCTCAGAACACACACAGTCGGCTTATGTGAGGTCTCAGAACACACACAGTCAGCTGATGTGAGGTCTCAGAACACACACAGTCAGCTGATGTGAGGTCTCAGAACACACACAGTCAGCTGATGTGAGGTCTCAGATCACACAGTCAGCTGATGTGAGGTCTCAGAACACACACAGTCAGCTGATGTGAGGTCTCAGAACACACACAGTCAACTGATGTGAGGTCTCAGAACACACAGCATGTGAGGTCTCAGAACATCAGCCAGCTGATGTGAGGTCTCAGAACACACACAGTCAGCTGATGTGAGGTCTCAGAACACACACAGTCAGCTGATGTGAGGTCTCAGAACACACAGTCAGCTGATGTGAGGTCTCAGAACACACAGTCAGCTGATGTGAGGTCTCAGAACACACACAGTCAGCTGATGTGAGGTCTCAGAACACACACAGTCTGCTGATGTGGCCAGTATTATGCTGTCTATCTTTACTTCCTTGCATGCTTTCTAGGCTGCGTTAACACAAGACAGGTAAACAGATGCACCTCAACAAGGTTCCACATCTGTAACCACCAGGTCAGAAGACAAGCTTGCAGGTCCCTGCACTACTGCGATGCATCAGCTCCTCCTTCTTAGTGTTCACCAGCCTTTAATTCTGGTGGAAAGATCTGGTTGTTCATTCACTTCTGGTCTTTGGTCTTGTTCCAGAACTTTTGCACACACATCCGTTTGACAGATCTGGCTTACTTGTGTGCAGACTGTTAGTTCCTCGCCTCGCCGGCAGACACTCTGACTTTGAAGGTCATACCAACTAATTAATTTCTTTCTCTGACATGCTTTTGGTGGGCAGTGACTCTATTTCTCCACCCCCCCCCCAAAATGAGACCTATGAACACACACAGGGACACTGGGATACAAAGTAAGGCCCATATTTTCTTGACCAAGCAGTAGGCATCTGATAGGCACTGTGGTCAGATTTACACTAGCTGTGTTACTACTCTTTGTGTCTGGAATCCATCTGATGGAGCCTGGCTGACCTCAGAGCCTGAGTTCTAGTCAGCTCCAGAACCTGATGCTTTGTTGGCCCAAAAGCCAGGGATCTGGTCGACCTAAGAAACTTTAAGCCTGACTGGTTCACAGAGCCAGAGATCTGGCGGAGTTCAAAACCAGAGGCCTGGTGAACCCAAGAGTGATGTGGAGTCAATATAGCACAAGCGTCTATAGTCCTAAGATCTTTAGGCTTATGGTGTTGGTCCCATAACTTGACAGACAAAATGGCAGAAGATGAGCTTTTAACCTCCCTTAGTTCCTTCTTTTCTCAGAATATTTCCTAGCCCCATTTTTACAAGAATCAGGTGGTTACATTCCACAGCAAAAAGGGATTTGAACCCAAGTACAGTGGGCACAGCAGGCAAGTACTCCAGCTTCTTCTTTCACATATTATTTTTTCATATGTTACAGTTGAAATTTATTGTTACAACATTTAATATTTTTGAAACACCTATACAACATAGAGAAGAAAAGTCTAACACACTTTATATCACTAGGGAAAAGATGAAGACACTATGTGAAAACCACAATTGTTTAAATGAACAAAAAAATAAATAAATAAAGATAAAAGATACGTAGTAATAACATATATTATATATCACACTTAGCAGGATGTGGGCCTTTAAAATTATACAAAAGTTTTATAAACTTTGGTTCTAATTTATCATAGATAATACACTGTTATCAAAAAATAGTTTACTTTATAGTGGCTTTTCTCTTGTTTTTTTTGTTGTTGTTGAAAGCCATAATTTATTTCTTCCAATTACTTTGTTGCGTGATTTTTGAAATTAAATTCTTTTTTTTGTTTAAATTAAAAAAAAAAAGACGTTTAAATGAAACTATTTACAGCATACACATAAAACATATGATCATTTCACCACTATCACGATCAATTCACCACTACCATGATCATTTCACCACTATCATGTTAATTTCACTCTATTACCATGATCATTTCACCATTACCATGATCATTTCACACTACCATGTTCATTACACCACTACCATGATCATTTCATCACTATCATGATGATTTCACAACTACCATGATAATTTCATCACTATCATGATGATTTCACAACTACCATGATAATTTCACCACTACCATGATTATTTCACCACTACCATGATCATTTCACCATTACCATGATCATTTCACAACTACCATGATCATTTCACCATTACCATGATCATTTCCCCATTAACATAATCATTTCACCATTAACATAATCATTTCACCACTACCATGATCATTTCACACTACCATGATCATTTCACCATTACCATGATCATTTCACCACTAACATGATCATTTCACCACTAACATAATCATTTCACCACTACCATGATCACTTCATCACTATCATGATCATTTCACCACTGCCACGATCATTTCACCACTATTATGATCACTTCATCACTATCATTTCACCACTGCCACGATCATTTCACCACTATCATGATCATTTCACCACTATCATGATCACTTCATCACTATCATGATCATTTCACCACTAACATGATCATTTCACCACTAACATGATCATTTCACCACTACCATGATCATTTCACAACTACCATGATCATTTCACCACTATCATGATCACTTCATCACTATCATGATCATTTCACCACTAACATGATCATTTCACCACTAACATGATAATTTCACAACTACCATGATCATTTCACCACTAACATGATCATTTCACCACTAACATGATCATTTCACCACTAACATGATCATTTCACCACTACCATGATCATTTCACAACTACCATGATCATTTCACCACTAACATGATCATTTCACCACTAACATGATCATTTCACCACTACCATGATAATTTCACAACTACCATGATCATTTCACCACTACCATGATCATTTCACAACTACCATGATAATTTTCCAACTACCATGATCATTTCACCATTACCATGATCATTTCACCACTACCATGATTATTTCACCATTACCATGATCATTTCACCATTACCATGATCATTTCACCACTACCATGATCATTTCCCCACTACCATGATCATTTCACCATTACCATGATCATTTCACCACTACCATGATTATTTCACCATTACCATGATCATTTCACCAGTACCATGATCATTTCACCACTACCATGATCATTTCCCCACTACCATGATCATTTCACCATTACCATGATTATTCTTTAAATCTAGCAACATTACCTGGCCCAATCTCTTACTGGGTCACTTTCAAACATTAGAATGAAAATAGTGTTTATGACTTACGGCCAATCTAACTTATGACATGTAAGTCAGAAAGGAACTTGGTCTTAAATTAAGGAGACCCTGTACGTGATACATATACCCATCAGTGGAAAAGATAAGACAAAAAAAAAAAAAAACATCTGTATCAGAAATTATTGTCAACATATTGAACAGAAGACTGTGGACTGACGTGGCAGCCAAAGCCACATGGCACTGACTAGAAGGAGACAATTCTTGCTTTAAAGGAGTCTTGGGTTAAAGACGTTTTTACATCAGCCTTGATCAATAAGTTGACAGAATCTTTGACAGCATAGAAATCAGGATTCATGAAGTATGTATGACAAGATTCATTATAATACCTGACATGATTCATAACAGTAAATAAGATAAGATTTATGAAGATTTATAAAGATATACAAAACAGAATTCATGACAGAATGCGTAATAGGATTATGATAGTATAACTGACAGGAGTTATGGTAGTACAAAAGATAATTCACAATAGCATACACAACAGCATTCATATTTAAAATATACACCCAAGACAGGGTATACTTTTTTAACCAAAAAATTCAGGGCATGATCTATAATTTGATATATACATTCAGGACAGGATCTATCATTTGCTATATATTCAGGACAGGATCTATCATTTGCTATATATTCAGGACACGATCTCTCATTTGCTATATATTCAGGGCAAGACCTATCATTTGCTATATATTCAGGACAGGATCTATCATTTGCTACATATTCAGTGCAAGGCCTATCATTTTCTTTATATTCAGAGCAAAACCTATCATCTGCTATACATTTAGGGCATGATATATCTTTTGCTATATATTCAGGGCACTATCTATCATTTGCTAAATATTCAGGGTATGATCTTTCATTTGCTATATATTCAGGGTATAATCTATCATTTGCTATATATTCAGGGCATGATCTATAATTTGCTATACATTCAGGACAGGATCTATCATTTGCTACATATTCAGAGCAAGACCTATCATTTGCTATACATTTAGGGCATGATATATCTTTTGCTATATATTCAGGGCACGATCTTTCAATTGCTATATATTCAGGGCACTATCTATCATTTGCTATATATTCAGGGCACTATCTATCATTTGCTATATATTCAGGGCATGATCTATCATTTGCTATATATTCAGGGCACAATCTATCATTTGCTATATATTCAGGGCACAATCTATCATTTGCTATATATTCAGGGCACAATCTATCATTTGTTATATATTCAGGGCCCAATCTATCATTTGCTATATATTCAGGGCACTATCTATCATTTGCTATATATTCAGGGCATGATCTATAATTTGCTATATAGTCAGAAAAGTATCTGACTGCATTTTTACTATATATTCATGACAGGATAATAAACTTTATAAAAAATGACATTCATCATTATCACCATGTGCCTTCCTGATAAATACTGAAGGTCATGATTTGCCATCCCACATGATTACCAGAATCATGGATCAGGTCAGTTTTATTATCCCTCGCCACCTATGTGACAAAACCATTTAATATTTATTTCTTTGCCTTCCCCTATATATATTCTCCATCAACAATTAGCACAGCATTTAAGTAAAAACATTAATCAATCCCAAGCCCAGCCACACAAAGGGAGGTGAATACCAGCTGAGCAAAACTGCTGCTTGGATATTAATTACTTGCCAGATTGGTGACGCCACACACGTCCTTGTCGAGCTTCTCTCGGTCAACGAGCATGTCCATGGAAGTGATCGACACGGTGTCACTGTCGTCTCCGTACCTGCTGGAACCTTCTGTCTGCTCCTCTATTGTCTCCAGAGCTTGAGCACCTAGTATAGGCACCTGGTCGCTGTCTATATTTTTCAAGTGTTCCACCTGTCCGTGAGGTTGAACATACCCAATGTTCATGCTTGCCTGCATCCATGCTAGTATGAATGAATAAAGTTTTGTTGTAATTGTAAAGTGACAACATACAACTGACGTGGAATCTTGGAGAATGTGCGGAAGTATGTGAGATGATAAAAGCCTGCGTCCACCTCCCCTCTTCATCTTTTTATTCTCCTCCTCCTTCTTCTCGATATGATAATTTTCTCCTGTTTTTCCTTTCTTCTTCTCTCATCCCTTCCTTCCTCTTACTTCTTCTCTCTTCTTATTCTGCTCCCCTTTTCCTTCTTGGTCCAGTGGTCTATGGAGAGAATATTCCTCCTGTTTATTAATAAGGCCTTGTTTCAATTATGTCTTATAATATGTATTCATTGTTCATAGTTCTGTACTCCAAAATAATTCAAGGCAAATATATCATGATCTATTTTAACTTTAATTGATAACTTTGCTGTTTAGACACAAGAAATAATTCACATCATTGCATGTTCATTTGACCATTCCTACTCCCTTTCTCATTTCTGCTTCACATGTGCAACAATAATTTATTTTTGATTACCTTGGACAAGAAACAGTTAATTTATTCAAGTTGTGGTAATTTTCAAAATTCTCTGTAGGTATTTATCCTTTTTGTTTTCTTTATATCTGTGTCTAAATCCTTTTCTTTGCCGAGTTTGTGTACTGGTTCACTTATTCTTAGGAATCCTGTTCTTTTTTAACCAACAAAACAGCATCATCTGCATATCTTAGTTTATCTGGATACCCTATTTATATCTATAAGGGAAGATTTCTGTTTTTTCTTTTGCTGCTGTTTTTTGACACTGTTAGCTGCATTTGCCATCCATACCTATTTCATCCAGGCAATTTTATTTATTTCGGAGGGACTATCAAATTATAGTGCAGACATTTTGTTGAAGAATCATTCTAGATTTTTCACACTGATATTCTTGTGGGCTGCCCTTTTCTTTCAAACGCCTCATTACCTTCCATTGCTGGTGTGGGTTCCGGGTCCCTATTGTGTTGAAAAAAACAAGAATAGACGACCCACTGCCTGCCTAAAAGTATGTCATAAGAGTCGACTCATTGGAAACTTCCTTTGAAGTAAGAGTACATCTGCCTCAGAGACAAGGAACCAACAGTCTGTTTGCAAATGAATCAAACCTGTGAAACTGATGTACACGCAACATTCAGGTTCTGGAACACGAGTAGAGTCCAGAAGTGGACGAACAACCAAAACTTTGGACGAACAACCAAAACTTTCTGCTGGAGCTTACAGCCGCTGAACGCAAAGAAAAAGAAGAAAATTACGTTCAATATTCTCTCACGCAAATTTTTTAGCATTATTTAAGTATTTGATTCATTAGGCCCACTCTACCAATACCTGCCCATGTTACCTGTAACATTGTGGGCAATGCCTTGCAACACAGTCATTTACTTGTAATACAAAAGTTGTATTGTCTGTATCACTGTCAGGTTTTATTAGTCCAAAGTCCTCCAGGATGTTAAATCTTCTGCTTCTTAGCGTTCACCTGCTGAAAGTTTAGTAGAAAGTTTTGGGTGTGCATCAACTTCGGAACTTTGGTCTTGTTCTTAAACTTGAGTTTTACGTACGTGTACATCCGTTTGACACATCTGGTTTATTTGTATGCAGACTGTTGGCTCCTCACCTCTCAGGCTGATGCACTCCAACTCTGTAGAAAACAACCCTAGTTAGTCCCCTTTTAAGAGATGCTTGTGAGTGAGGTAGTACATCTATTCTTATTTTCTCCAGAATGGGGCTGTGGAGCCCATACGGGGAAGGATGTTGATTTTTTCTGTTGATAGTGTATGTTTAATCACAAACAAAATTAAAACAAACCCCTACAATTTGATGTAGAAGAGGAAAGACTATCAAAGAATGTGGATCATACTCACAAGGGATGAGGTCTGAGGTCACTTGCTGAGACTTGCCATCAGGTATCATCACACCAACAGAATTGTCTGTTTTACCAACCGCGATAAAGTAGACGGCCAGAAACGACAGAGCGCAGCTGAAAAATGGAGAGAAGAACACCTAAATTAAACACATACAATGTTTTAGATAAAAGATAAAATCAAGTGGATCAACATCACTGCACTGGGTTTTATTCTATATGGTTAGCCTCCGGTCGAGAGCATCAGACAAAGCACGAACTCTCTGGCTCAAGCAACAATCCTCAGGGATTGTAAAAACTGTGCCAGTGAAGTGAATGATGCAGCCATGAAACAAATCCATAACCTTTAGAACATGAAAGGAAAGGGCTTGATCACTTAGCCATGGAGACCCCTTTAAATCTTAACTTTTTCTGTATTAGATAAATATTTGTACAGACTTCCATCACTTGTCAGCTTGACTGCAAATACATACAATACTTGTCTGTTAGTTGCACATTCTTTACAGTTAAGAACTGACATCATAGCATGTGGGATATTCCAATAAGCACCTCTGTCCCCATCTTCAGCAGCCAGCACAGAGTTCCAGCTTTGATGGTATTCTTTACAGGACCGACATTAGCATTTATCCTCTGTTGAGTGGTTTTTCTAAGCAATTTTATATTCAGTAGTTTGCCACTGCTTTTTTAATACTATTGTCATGTTTAATGCAAAGCCATCCACTTCCAACTTTCCTGTAGCTGCCTTTACATTCTGATATATTGGAATTATGAAACAGAATTTCACAAACAGAAAACAAATGTATCAACCAGCCAATGAATGGACACACAGAACAATGCACATAGTTAGTTAATAGTTCATCCACAGATTATCCTCATTGCACATCTGACAAGTCCATAAGCGCTCGGATCCCATCTTCAGCATCTCCCTCAGTATGTGGTAATTAATAACTCCAGTTCTGTGTTGGTTTACTAATCATCTTTGGCTATCTGTGTAGTGTTCATGTTTTGGAACACCTCTTTTGACCTGAAGTTCTTGTAGTCTTTTGAGTGTTGCCGATTTTAAGTCGTCTCCTGAATCATCTTCTTGTCCTGCCTCCTTGAGAGCATTGAGAATGTCAGCTTGGCCCATTGATTTTCCTGTAGCTACAGTGGCCCTGCCATCAAGCCAATCGGCTCGTTCATTCACTCTTACCCCAGAGTGTTCTGGAACAAAAATGAAACTAATTCCTTTCAGATGAGATTTCATCAGCGACTCCAGCCATTTTCTTCGAATCTATCCTGTTTCTATCTTCTTAAGCCTGCTCATGGAATCACTTAGCCACATCATTGTTTTTGTTACCGCCATCACCTCCATGGTCAAACTTCTTGTTGAGGCAAAAGCCCCGCTTTCTACTTTTACAGTTTTCACTTGAACCAGAACCGTGAAAGTCCATGAACTTTTGTACGTGTTGATTGAGGGATCCATCAGGGTAGATAACTGCACCTTCATCTGCAAAATTTTCAAGAATTAAGGCTTACACTTCTGCCTCAATCACCAAGGGGCCTTGTTGTTTGCAATCTCTACCCAGTTTTATGCAGACTGAAAAGGATATACCCAACTCTAGTGGCACTCGTATCCCTTCCTCACTAGGTTCTATGTCCTCAGTTGAACAAACTTGTTGAATAATGTCCTCAGCCTGACTCAACCAGGATTTTCCTCTTTTCGACCGGGTGCCCTTCTTCCTACTAATCCCACTGGCAATGAATGGTGTGTATCAGCACTGATATGCAGATATGCACATGCTCGGCAGATCACTGTTCTCACTTCCATGGCTGGAAGATCAAAGAGGTAACACAACGCTCTGCATGCTGTAATTGTGTGTATCAAAGTGTGATGCGCATAGCCACATTATGTATCTGATTTAGTACGCCTGTTTGTGCATGGCTAAGAATCATAATTGCCAGAGCATACTCACTTACCAACGCCACGTCCTCGTCGTGAGAGGTGGTAACAGGACAAAGTAGGGGATTGCTAGGTGTGGGCGAAGTATGGTGTGGCCTCGTGCCACGGGACCGCTACGGTAGCCATGAAGGCCACCCTGGGTCACCCCGAAACGTCCTGGCCAACGGGGCTCTGGTGAAGTTGCGACAGGCCTAGCAAGCCGGCAATGGATGTATTACCGCTACAGAAATCAAAATGAGATATAAACGAATTCTGGATTACATACAAAGACAGCAAGTGAAATGGTTTGCCCACTTAGAGAGAATGCCATGTGACACCATACCATACAAAGCATACATGGAAAGAGAAGAAGGACGTAGAGCACGGGGTAGACCAAGAACATAATGGAAGGATAACATCAGAGAAACTCTACAACAGCACGATGTGCCTATGGTCGAGGCAGCCAGAAGAGCTAGAAACAGAACCTTATATCACCCTCGACACCCACAGCGGTAAAAGAGGAAGTGAAGAAGAAGAAGAAGAAGATACTCACTTACAGAAAGGATCAGACCCTGGTATAAGAAAAATAGGTGATGCTCACAATTGCAGGGCAAAGAAAGAAGACATGCCTATCAACTCCTACTGGGTACAATGAGCATGGAGACTCTGACATGGCTGCTGCCTTGGAGGATGGAGCACGAAGTGGTTGGACCCATGTGTTAGGATGTTGGTCAGATAACACTGACATGTCTGCTGCCTTGGAGGATGGAGCACAAAGTGGTTGGACCCATGTGTTAGGATGTTGGTCAGATAACACTGACATGTCTGCTGCCTTGGAGATGGGAGCACAAAGTGGTTGGACCCATGTGTTAGGATGTTGGTCAGATAACACTGACATGTCTGCTGCCTTGGAGGATGGAGCACAAAGTGGTTGGACCCATGTGTTAGGATGTTGGTCAGATAACACTGACATGGCTGCTGCCTTGGAGGATGGAGCACGAAGTGGTTGGACCCATGTGTTAGGATGTTGGTCGGATAATAAATAACGCTAATAAATAACTCAGCTTAACCAGATATTTTCCACCAGGCCATTTATCACACACATAACAAGATTATGCACAGGTGGCTCAATCACTCATTTTCTGTCGCCACAATGAAAGCTGTCTGCAATGGTTCTCCAACATTCTCTGTCCCTTGTTGTGGTTGTATACTCTCTCAGATTGCTGTTTTTCCATCTCTTGATTTTGTCCTCCCACTTGTATCTCTCTTGCATTTGACCTTTTCTGCCAATACAGTTTTTAAAATAGCACAGGTGACTTCAGATATACAAACATACTGTTATCACTATTTTCTATAAACAGTGTTATACTTACCCAAAGAGAAACATAGTCATCTGCACGCCGGTCATTCCATAGAATTCACGGTAGAAAATAATGCCTGAGAGGAACATAGAAAATAATGCCTGAGAGGAACATAGAAAATAATGCCTGAAAGGGACATAGAAAATAATGCCTGAAAGGGACATAGAAAATAATGCCTGAAAGGGACATAGAAAATAATGCCTGAGAGGAACATAGAAAATAATGTCTGAAAGGGACATAGAAAATAATGTCTGAAAGGAACATAGAAAATAATGTCTGAAAGGAACATAGAAAATAATGTCTGAAAGGAACATAGAAAATAATGTCTGAAAGGGACATAGAAAATAATGTCTGAAAGGGACATAGCAAATAATGCCCGGAAGGAACATAGAAAATAATGCCTGAGAGGGACATAGAAAATAATGTCTGAAAGGAACATAGAAAATGGTGCCTGAAAGTAATGGTAAACTCTGAGACTTTGACAAAAGGGCATAACTAGGCTGTAACTACTGAATTATTTATATCATATTTAAATTAATCAATATGCCATAGAATTTACTTTGGTATAACATTTCCATAAATGCACAACTAGTTTAGGTGTTAACTTCCCCCTTGGGTTTTATATGTAAACTGACGACAATTTTAGCTATTTTAATGTATGTACATTTATTCAATGCCACTAAAATTATTCTTTAGAAAAATATGTGGCATAAATGAACAAAGGCAAATTACGATCATGAAAATGTTTATCACAGTAAATTTAACATTCACTCGAATATTCTCACAGTAAAGTTAATATTCACTCAAATGTTCTCACAGTAAAGTCAGAACTCACTTGAGTGTTTTCTATTCTCTGTTTGTGCTCTACAGTAAAGTTAACATTCACTCAAAACATTCTCACAGTAGAGTTAACATTCATTCAGATGTCCTCTCTGTAAAGTTAACAGTCACTGGAATGTTCTCACAGTCACGTTAACATTCACTTAAATGTTGTTGCAGTAAAGTGAATCTAGGTACCTGCTAGAATCGCAGAGATTGTAAAGATGACGAAGTTCACAGGCACCACAATGGTCGCGTCTGCAGTCTTCATTGCCAGGTTGACAAATCTTCAGATTGGAAGAAAATTTGTTTTATCAGTATATACACTGAAGTAAACACAACTAGGTAAATACAACTAAAAACAGACTAGAGTACATACAGACAGACATGAGTACATATACACACAATCTACACATATATACAGACAACAATATACATATGTGTACATGAAGAGTCAAAACTCCATGTTAAAACTCCATGTTTTACTCAGTTCTTAATTTTGTTTAACAAAGATCAGTTACCCTCTCAAGGTAATTATCAAAATCAGGATCTTTGGAGCTGAAACTTGATGAACTGCCACATAGATGCCATGATCAGCTGAAGCTTACTCACAAAAACATCACAGAGTATAGGATCAGTCATCTACGAGACAGATCAGACATCTACCAGACAGATCAGACATCTACGAGACAGATCAGACATCTACCAGACAGATCAGACATCTACGAGACAGATCAGACATCTATCAGACAGATCAGATCAGACATCTACCAGACAGATCAGACATCTACCAGACAGATCAGACATCTACCAGACAGATCAGATCAGACATCTACCAGACAGATCAGACATCTACCAGACAGATCAGACATCTACCAGACAGATCAGACATCTACCAGACATCTATCAGAGCTCTGGTCCAGACACAAGAACATCACAAATAACAATTCTCACGCAGCTGTGAAAGTACTGGATCATCATGGAAGGGAAGTTGACCTCTGTGGTTAATGTAGCTGGGTCAAGGTCAATTCAGACAATAACCAAACAGGTATTTAAAAAAAAAGAACATGAATTAGTTTATGAAATAAATGTCAGTAAAAAAAGAAACTGGGCACATCAACTCATAAAGCAGAGGTCGAGTATATTAAAATCTTTGTCATTCTACACCTTTTGACCATCATCTGCAGTGGGTGCACTTGAAAATGTTTACAGTCAGGAACTTTTCCTCACAAAAATGTGGCACATCTTTGAGTGAAATAAACACTATACAAAACACAGTTTCCACCTACTTGATCTGGATGAGGGCGGTTAGAATCAGAACCACCAACATGGCATAGAAGACCGGTTTATTCCACTGGTTGAATCCCACGACGGACAGCTGAACCATGCCTGACACAGCTTTTGCAGAAATCACGGTGAAAGATGCTGGGGAACAAACAAAATGCCAACACCAATAGTTAACTAGTCCAATATTCTTTAGTTGCAATCTACTGTGAGTTTATCTGGCGTACAAAATCATGTCTGTATGACCAAAGTGACACAATATAGGACTATAAGAAGAATCTTCTGCAATGACCTTCTTTCAAAGGAACAGCTAACATCTTGTTAAAAACTTCTCTAGTTCAAAGGTCAGTGTGTCTGATTCAGTGTATACTTCTGTAAAGATTACATATTCTGAACAGATGTCCTCCTATGTAATAGGCTCTACCCTTCCTAAACGTGCAGTCCAGTGAAATGCTTGAGAAAGGTTTCACCTAGTTAAAACATTTTAAATTCATTAAAGAATAACAAGAGAGATGGTCTGGCCACCTGACGAGAATTCCCTGGTACCAGCTGCCACAGAGAGCCACACTAAAGAAATATATTAAACTCAGAGCAAGGGTAAGAACACGCACGCAACCTAACAGAAATGAATACCAACTTGTACAATGCATTGGAAAAAGCACACAAACAATCCTTACATTTCCCCCTCCCCAACAGCTTGCTGAGGTAAATGGTGGAAGAGAAGAAGAAGAAGAAACATTTTTAAGGAAATCTGTTATCTCTCCATAGACGCTATGGACCTTGTTGCTTGGAGGGGAAAATCAGGAAGGTAACTGGAGTAAAGGAGAAAATAATTGCAGATAGGTCCAGAGTTTAGCATCTGAGAAGGAGCATGTGAAATAAATGTAGTTGTGACCAGAGTTTAGCATCTGAGAAGGAGCATGTGAAATAAATGTAGTTGTGACCAGAGTTTAGCATCTGAGAAGGATCATGTGAAATAAATGTAGTTGTGACCAGAGTTTAGCGTCTGAGAAAGATCATATGAAATAAATGTAGTGACCATTAAAGAAGGATCATGTGAAATAAACGTAGTTGTGACCAGAGCTTAGCATCTGAGAAAGATCATGTGAAATAAACGTAGTTGTGACCAGAGTTTAGCGTCTGAGAAGGATCATGTGAAATAAATGTAGTTGTGACCAGAGCTTAGCATCTGAGAAAGATCATGTGAAATAAATGTAGTTGTGACCAGAGTTTAGCATCTGAGAAGGATCATGTGAAATAAATGTAGTTGTGACCAGAGTTTAGCATCTGAGAAAGATCATGTGAAATAAATGTAGTTGTGACCAGAGTTTAGCATCTGAGAAGGATCATGTGAAATAAATGTCGTTGTGACCAGAGTTTAGCATCTGAGAAGAAGCATATGAAATAAATGTCGTTGTGACCAGAGTTTAGCATCTGAGAAGGATCATGTGAAATAAATGTAGTTGTGACCAGAGTTTAGCATCTGAGAAGGATCATGTGAAATAAATGTACCAGAGTTTAGCATCTGAGAAGGATCATGTGAAATAAACGTAGTTGTGACCAGAGTTTAGCATCTGAGAAAGATCATGTGAAATAAATGTCGTTGTGACCAGAGTTTAGCATCTGAGAAGGATCATGTGAAATAAGTGTAGTTGTGACCAGAGTTTAGCATCTGAGAAGGATCATGTGAAATAAGTGTAGTTGTGACCAGAGTTTAGCATCTGAGAAGGATCATGTGAAATAAATGTAGTTGTGACCAGAGTTTAGCATCTGAGAAGGATCATGTGAAATAAGTGTAGTTGTGACCAGAGTTTAGCATCTGAGAAGGATCATGTGAAATAAGTGTAGTTGTGACCAGAGTTTAGCATCTGAGAAGGATCATGTTGAAATAAGCTGTAGTTGTGACCAGAGTTTTAGCATCTGAGAAAATGTTTTTCTTCTTTCGTTCATGAAATGAAATCTGCAATGCATGCCAATCCAATGTTATCAGCTGAAATGTGTTTCTGATATGTATGTTACAATCATGATGCTCTTTTACAAGAAGTTGCAATCTAACTTTTTTGGCACGTTATGGTAAACGTGAAATTGTCAACAAATGCTGCAGGAATGTGATGGCTTACAAAATGATATCAAGACTTTAATGATCGGGTAAGGTGATCTAGATACTCTTGAATGTTCCTTCGTATCCTATCCATATTTTTCATCTTCGACTCTAATTCTCTTTTTCATTCTTCCTTGTCTTTCAAGTCTCACTTTGGCTAGGTGTATAGATGATGAAGTTATTTTACTGAGGACATGTTAGCTCATTGCATGTGGAAACATGGGGTTGGCCCTTCACAGTTAAAATCACTGCAGCCAGCGGCCAAAAGGAGACATTTACAGCTCTCCTAGACACTTGGCCAGTGTGCGATGGACAGCGTGAAATGTGTTTGGGGTGAAGAAAACTCAGGGGGGAGGGGGGGGTGTGTGATAGTCTTGCTATATCTTCAAAGGGGCATGGAAGTCTTGCCATATACTCAGGAAAGGGAGGGGGAGACCTGAAAAAGGTAAGAGACCGCTGACCTGCAGGGAGATCAGCAAACAAAGGTCTTGGTCAACTTAGCGTCCATTCCCACAATGCCCAACAGGGAGGTGTCAACAGTCTGAAATATGTGCAAGAGAAAAATTACCTGTCACAGAGGAAATGAGCAGGTACACGAGCACGTGCTTGACTCCCCTGCAGTAGAGCAGAATCAGTAAGCCACTCAGGAGGATCATCTCCAGGCACTGAAACACACCTCACTCAATTAGTTTACAGAGACAAATGTCAGGGTGACATCTTTTCTATCTGCAGTTAGGAAAGTCTTTTTTTTTTTTTCATGTATAAATTTATATGATCAGAAGGGGAGTAATAGAGAGAAACAATGATGACAGAGGAAAGTAGAAATAAAGGAAGAGAAACAGGAATGAGAATGTGCAAAAGAAAGACAGAAAGGAAGAAAGCAAGCAAGAGAGAAAGAAATAAAAGAAAGAAAGAAAGAAAGAAAGAAAGAAAGAAAGAAAGAAAGAAAGAAAGAAAGAAAGAAAGAAAGAAAGAAAGAAAGAAAGAAAGAAAGAAAGAAAGAAAGAAGAAAGAAAGAAAGAAAGAAAGAAAGAAAGAAAGAAAGAAAGAAAGAAAGAAAGAAAGAAAGAAAGAAAGAAAGAAAGAAAGAAAGAAAGAAAGAAAGAAAGAAAGAAAGAAAGAAAGAAAGAAAGAAAGAAAGAAAGAAAGAAAGAAAGAAAGAAAGAAAGAGTTGAGTTGAGTCAAGAATTGACATCACAGCACTCGGGCATTCCAATACATGCTCATCCCCATCCTCAGCAGCCAGCTCAGAGTTCCAATACTAATGGTGCCAGTCGTAGTCTGTTTGTAGTCCGTCTTGCCTTTCCTCTGGGTGTAGTGTGCCAGCCAAACCCTCTGGTCACATCCAGGTGCATCATTTTCTCCAGCCCTTAATAATCTAGTTTCTCTTCTGGCTTCGTTACTTGTTGCCAAAGGGCTCTGACCAGATCTGCCTTGCAAGAAAGAAAGAAAGAAAGAAAGAAAGAAAGAAAGAAAGAAAGAAAGAAAGAAAGAAAGAAGAAAGAAAGAAAGAAAGAAGAAGAAAGAAAGAAAGAAAGAAAGAAAGAAAGAAAGAAAGAAAGAAAGAAAGAAAGAAAGAAAGAAAGAAAGAAAGAAAGAAAGAAAGAAAGAAAGAAAGAAAGAAAGAAAGAAAGAAAGAAAGAAAGAAAGAAAGAAAGAAAGAAAGAAAGAAAGAAAGAAAGAAAGAAAGAAAGAAAGAAAGAAAGAAGAAAGAAAGAAAGAAAGAAAGAAAGAAAGAAGAAAGAAAGAAAGAAAGAAAGAAAGAAAGAAAGAAAGAAAGAAAGAAAGAAAGAAAGAAAGAAAGAAAGAAAGAAAGAAAGAAAGAAAGAAAGAAAGAAAGAAAGAAAGAAAGATCATGCCAACATGAATGGTGATAATGCAAGACTGAAAATAATAAAAATAATGATGATTTGAGATTTTCCATAACAACCAAAACACAGAACACATTTTTTTTTGCTATGCGGAAGATGCTGACACTGAGGAAGCTGAGGTAATAGAATTGTGACTAATGTAAGAGATGTACAGATGGAAATAACACTAAAGATTTCTGATGATAAAAGAAACAGTAAGTATAACACATTTTGAAGATATAATAAGTAAAAGAGATTTGAAGAAATAATAAATGTGAGATAAATATAAACTCTTACAACATAAGCAACGAAAATAGGTTGAGCCAGTGAGCGGGTGATCTCATAGCTTCCCATAACCTTTGCATTCTGAAAGTGAAAACCAACATAGCTGTCACAATAGCCAAACAAAAACAAGCAGTCAAGAATCAACTAAGTTAAACAATGACATAAAAATAACAGCAGAAATTTTCAGATTGAGTACAGAACTTGGGACGTTCCCATAAGCAACCAGCATATAGTTCCATCTCTGATGGTACTTCCTCTTCTGCATTCTTTCAAAGATGTAAATGGGTTATGCACACTTACAACACAGCTGTGATATTTGCACCTCTTGGCCTACACATCTGACTTCTGCAGGCATTTGTTGTCCAGGGAGGCCTTGCCGGGAGCATTTCCGATGACACCACTAGCAGACTGACTATATGTCTGTCTGACCTTTCCTCTGAGTGCTTAGTGTCAGACGGATCTTCTTCTGTCAGATGGCACCACTAGCAGTCTGACTATATGTCTGTCTGACCTTTCCTCTGAGTGCTTAGTGTCAGACGGATCTTCTTCTGTCAGATGGCACCACTAGCAGTCTGACTATATGTCTGTCTGACCTTTCCTCTGAGTGCTTAGTGTCAGACGGATCTTCTTCTTTCAGATGGCACCACTAGCAGTCTGACTATATATATTCCTCTGAGTGCTTAGTGTCAGTCAGATCTTCTGGTCAGTCCCTGGTGCACCATTCTCTTTGGACTTTGATGATCTATTTGTGCTTACACACTCATTCTCAAAGGGTGATATAGCTTGTCATGCATCAATTTATAACCAACTGTTGCAGTAGCAACCAATCTGTCTGCCCATTCATTTCCCAACAGATCCAAATGCAGTAAAAAATATATCTAAAACATACTGACTACGCTGGATCTTTTGAACGAAGCTTGCCATTCTGCACAGAGCATATCTGTCTCCATATTTCTAAACAAACAATCTTCCATGGAGCAATGACACATTCTCAGCTATACACATGTCTAGAAACATTCAGTCCTGCCAACTTTGTCATTCAAGTCTTTTTTATCAGCTCTGAGACTATCAAGACTTCAACTCAAATCACTGATTGGTTTCTTGATAGGGTGTGCATTCAACAGACATTGAGCAATGAATCCTCATTCGTTTGGCAAGGTTTAGTTCAAGATTCAGAGTCAGAATAACAAGCATCAGAGTTTTTACATTTAGGGTCTTCCTTAGGTTATAGTTTTAGATCATTTTGTAGTTTTTGATCACTGCTTTTCTAGAGGTCACTAATTTTGTCTTCTTTGTTCACCTGCTGAAAGCTCTGAAGGAAAGTCCTGGTTGTTCGTCTATTTGGACTTTGGCTTTGTGCCAGGGCCTGAGTTTTGCGTGTACATCCGTTTTACTGACTTCTTTGGGTGCATCTGGTTCGTCGTTGCCACTTGGACAGACGTACTTGACCTTCAAAGGAGTTCCCAATTAGTTAACTTCTTACCCGTGTGGGTTCCTGGCCCTATTATAGGGAAAACAAGAATAGACCCACTGCCTAACTAAAAGCATGTCGCAAGAGTAGACTAATTCAGAGCTTCCTTTGAAGTCGGAGTGCATCTGCCTTAGAGGCAAGGAACCAGCAGTCTGCATACAAATGAGTCAGATCTGTAAAATGGATGCACACGCAACACTTAGGTTCTGGAACAGGACTGCAGTCCAGAAGTGGACGAAAAACCAGAACTTTCTGCTGGAGTTTACAGCTGGTGAACGTGAAGAAGAAGAAGTTAACTTCTACAACAGGCTTGTTGGGGAGGCAGTGGGTCAACTTTTGTTTTCTTTGGAATGGGGCCCCGGAACCCACACGAGGAGGTCCACTTATTCTGAGCTGCTCTGCCAGTTCAGCTCGGGTGAATGATGACCATATATCCACCATGCGCAGCATGTAATATACGGCATCTTGTATGACGTTCTGTAAACTTAGCAAAATCTGGTTGTCACCAACAGCGAGGTACAGGGTATTGCTTTAATCACAGAACAGCAGGGGAGACGCCGTGGCGTAGCGTCTAGATGCTCACATGCAGATTAGAAGGTCGTGGGTTTATTCCTTGGCGGAGCCGGATTTTTTCCAAAATGACCTTGACTCACAGGTCGACCAAGCCTTGAATGGGTACCGGGCACAGTCTCAGGAAGTAAAGGCGGCTGGCGTGATACTGACCACATCACCTATCTTGTGCCAATTGGTCCATAAAAATATAGGTCTAACCCTGATACACATAAAAACAGGGAAAAAGGACATTAATTTTTTTTTTTTTCAACAGAACAGCATTTTGAACATATCTCTCATGTCTGTTATCAAAACCACCAGATCAAAGGCAACACAGCTGGTAGAAAGTCTATTAAAATACACAGATATGTGTGTGTTCAATAACAAATAAAATCTGGTTTACTCACATCGCTCGAAAATGTCACCAACAAGAAGGCCCCAATGATTGCCAACGCACATCCTGAAATAACAGATTGGTTTACAAATATATCTTTAAACAAATGAAGCATTTTATCTTTCTTTATCCTGATGACAACCATTGCATTGCATCTTCAGTCTTCTTCTTCTTCTTCTTCTTTGTTCACCGGCTGTAAGCCCTGGTGGAAAGTCCTGATTGTTCATCCACTTGGACTTTGGCTTTATGCAAATGCCATGGCCTGAGTTTTGTGTGTACATCCGTTTTACTGGCTAATTTGTGTGCAGCTGATTGTTTCTTGCCACTCGGGCAGACACACCCCCACTTCGAAGCAAGCGCCCCAGTTGGTCGACTGCTGCAGCATGCTTACTGGGGAGGCCGTGGATCCATTCCTGTGTCCTCCACAATGAGGCCCTGAACCCAGACAGGGAGCATCTTCGTTCAATAAGCCTGTGTTGTTTCCATTTCTAAAGTATTTACTATTTTAAACATTTTAGTTAATTATAAAACTACAGTTGTTACCAGAGCTGTCCTGGAGCAGAAGATAGCAGACTCACTTCCCAGCCACTGAGTATCAGCTGGTCTAGACAGGAACAGGGTTAACAGCATTTACCCAATACTCTCTGTGTGGGTTGCGGGGTCCCTTCGGGGGAGGAAGTGGGAAGAGTGCCAACCACCTTTAAATTGAGAATGCAGAAGAAGACTTTTCTTCCCAATACAAAGGTGGTTGACTTTACCTACATGGTTGACTTTACCTACATGGTTGACTTTACCTACATGGTTGACTTTACCTACATGGTTGACTTTATCTACATGGTTGACTTTATCTACAATGGTTGACTTTACCTACATGGTTGACTTTATCTACATGGTTGACTTTATCTACATGGTTGACTTTACCTACATGGTTGACTTTATCTACATGGTTGACTTTATCTACATGGTTGACTTTATCTACATGGTTGACTTTATCTACATGGTTGACTTTATCTACATGGTTGACTTTATCTACATGGTTGACTTTACCTACATGGTTGACTTTACCTACATGGTTGACTTTATCTACATGGTTGACTTTACCTACATCTGACTAAAGAGTTGGAAACATTAGGTGCTCTGCTTTTACACAAGGAAGGGAAACCGTTATCTCTACACACTAACAAATTCATTTTTTTTTTAATCAGCATATGATATTATCTTTTCGCTTACATAAGAAGATGGTTTCCACACAAAATCCATGCCATAGCAATGCTCTTGATGTGGGATGTTTGTAAACTGGGTGGCTTAAATGGTATTTAACGTGGACATTCACAAATTTAACTTCCAGTGTGGGTTTCCAATTTTTTGTCGGTAGTAGGTTTGGGAGGGGGGGGGGGGGCAATAGACAGACTGCTCCAGTAAAAAAGCATCTCGGAAAAAGACAACTAATTAGGGGTGTTTCTTTGAAGTCAGAATGCATCTACCTGAGAGACGAGCAACCAATAGTCTGTATAAAAAATATGCCAGATTTTAAAAATGAAGTACATGTAGAATATCAAGTTCAGAAGTGGACAAACAATCATAATTGTCCACCAGAGTTAATGGTCAGTGAACGCTGAGAATAAAAATATCAAAGAAAAGAAAAAGAAGAAATAAAAGATGAAAACAAAGAAGAAGTTTACAGTGAAATCAAGAATTTAAATCAGGTACTGAAGATTTCAAAGGCTTCAAAATGATTTGATATTTTCATGTTACACTACAGTATCTTTAGTTCTTTATAACTGATTTCCCTTGTCATTATTTCACTTTCATCCTCATCATCATGTTTTGTGTTAATGAGCATAGGCTATCATGTTTTGCTGTCTCACACGGTCATAAGAGTCTCTGATCAGTTCAATAATCTTGTCTCTAACGGCACATCAATACTGCTAATCCATCCAAGTATTTATCTCTTTGCCTTCCTCTGGCACTCTTTCCGTCAATCTTGGCAGTTGTTACCAAGTTTGCGAGTCCTTCTCATAAAATGTCAGAAACACACCGACTGTCTACACCTATTTGTTCTATTAACTTAACAACTTTCTTCTGTCTCAATGAGGACAACTTAAACAACAAAAAGTTTCTATTACTCAAACATATTCTATGCATTCTTCCCAAACCTGACATCTCTACTGTGAGTAAATGCTTTTCAGCCTGCCTGCCTATTGTCCATGTTTCACCTGCACAGAACAACACAGATTCTACATGGCATTTTAACACTTTATTCTCACTGCAGCTGATGTATTCTTGTTGGTGAGTATCTTGTGCGTCTTGCTGAAGGCCAGTTTGGCAGTGGTGACACTTAGTTAGTTAGTTAGTTAGTTGGGTTATCCTCATTGCACTCCGGACATGTCCATAGGTGCTCAGATCCTCCCCTCAGTATGAACCCCAACGTCCGATGGCTAATAGTACCAGTTCTATGTTGATTAACAAGTCTTCTGGCGTGTCTGGTGTGCGTCTCGTTTTTTGCTGTACCGATCTTAATTCCCAAGTCTGCCATTCTGGCGAGTGATGTTGATTCACTGCCACCAAAGTCCTTTATCCTTCCCATTTCTCTGAGGGCATTGATAATATCAGCATGATCCATAGGCTGACCGTCGGTAGTGATAGCGGATCCAGACAACCTGTCAGCTCTTTCATTTCCATCGACGCCTGCGTGTCCCGGAACAAAAATAAAGGTGACTCCACGCACAGTGGACTTCTGTAATGATTCAAGCCATTGTCTTCGCACTGAACCTGCCTGAACCCTCAGGATCATACTCATTGAATCACTGAGTATACACACGCGGGTGTATTTTTGTGTTTCAAGCCAGGCAAGCGCTTGCGTCACTGCCATCACCTCCATCGTCATGCTGCTGGTTGTCATGGAGAAGGCGCCGTTGGCTTCTTTGACTGTTCTGCCCGCTGAGCGTGCTGTAAATGCCCATGCGCTTCTTCTTTGGCGTATAACGGATCCGTCTGTATAGATTATTGCATCTGCTTCGTCTGAAAGGAGTTTTCACCGATGAGAGCGTTGACCTCTGCATTAACAGCAACAGGATTCTCTTCTCTACTCGCCTGTTGAGTGTGACAATACAGGAAAATGTACAAATAAACGCCTGAGGCACAGATATCCATTCTGCACCAGGTATGATGTCGGTTAGGCTGCATATTTGCCTAATAACATCTTTCTGCCCGACCTAGCCACGATTTCCCCCTCTTCATTCTGTCGCCCTTTTTCACTAAAAAGCGCTTGATGCAGTGGGTGTTTCTTATCAGCACATATTTTTGAGATATGCCCGAGCCCTCCACATCCTGATCCTTTGGTTCATTGTTGGAAAGTCAAGTAGATACCTCATTGCTCCACAGGATGTGTCTCTTGTACATCCCAAAATAATGCGCATGGCTTCATTTTGCACCTTTTCGAGTCATTCAATCTGGGTAGCACTGACAGTGAGGATGGCCAGAGTATATTCAATGGGGGAAAGGACCAGACCGTAGAATAGAAGTATTAGTAGTCTTTGCTCTATATTGGAAGCAGCCATAATCCTCATTGCAGATAGACCTTTGCGTGCCTTTGTTATCACATGGTCAACGTGTTCCCTGAATGACAAGCTGCGATCGAACCTCACCCCGAGAAACACCATAACATTGGTTCTGATCAATACACTATCAAAACAAGTGGTGACATTTGTTCTAATTTATACAAGGCAGCTTATTATTTTAAATTAATATTTCTTGTTGCAGTCAGAGTAGTGACTTGACTGAGTGGATTCTGGATGCAGTGACTTGACTGAGTGGATTCTGGATGCAGTGACTTGACTGAGTGGATTCTGGATCACAGTTTTGCAAGTTAAAAACCAAAGTTGATGTTTCAAAATGAACAAGTCCAGACATTTGTATAAAAATACCTAAATTTCATTTGGTCTAATTTCTTTTCATGCAACTGTATCACAGCAGACACTGGAGAAGTCAGCAATAACGAAATACTCACCAAATAAATTCTCTGAGCGGATCTTTTCTTTCAGGAACATTGCAGCCACAAAAAGATTGGCTTATTAAAAAAGAAAGAAAAAAAAAGAATAGGAAATACACAACAGCAGTAAGTAATTTAAACAACAATATAGTCATCATCTTCAAGACATCTTCAAGGTTACTATTGTAACACAATATCCACAATTTTCACCAACAGTGCTATTAATGCTGTCTATGGTGTGTGTTGTGTGTGTGTATGGGGACATGTGTTGATTTATAAGATCTTAAAGTAGCTGCTAGTCAGATATTGGTGTTTTGCTCTTCACCCTCAGCTATTCTGAACAGAATAGTAGCACAGCATCTATTTTCAGAAAATCTTGTCGCAGTCTTTAGCCACTGATGTCTTACTTTAAATACTTTATTAGGGCACATTTTTACACAAGACAAAAACAACAAATCCTGAGATTCTTTAGATGAAATGCAGTACTTGTAAAGTCAGAGGCAAGTTCCAGACCCCTACAGCACTCCAATACCATACTAGGTCATAATGTTTTGTTGCAAGATGACAGGGACCAAAAAAAATAGACAAAATGTATTCTGGGGGGGGGGGGGGTAAAACAAATGCAGTGTGGGCACAAACCAAAGCGATGCATTATAATTTTTTTTAAAATTAGGATTATGAGAAGGTGATAACAAAACAGCCAATACTAAACATGTGTGTTTCGTCAACATTTTCAGCAATTTCTAAAAATATACCTGAAATGTTTCCCCACAGATGTAAAGTTCTATAATCGTTGCTATAGACCTCAATGGTTTCAGAACTGTGTTTATGTCAGAAATGTAAAGTTCTATAATCGTTGCTATAGACCTCAATGGTTTCAGAACTGTGTTTATGTCAGAAATGTACAGTTCTATAATCGTTGCTATAGACCTCAATGGTTTCAGAACTGTGTTTATGTCAGAAATGTAAAGTTCTATAATCGTTGCTATAGACCTCAATGGTTTCAGAACTGTGTTTATGTCAGAAATGTACAGTTCTATAATCGTTGCTATAGACCTCAATGGTTTTTTCAGAACTGTGTTTATGTCAGAAATGTAAAGTTCTATAATCGTTGCTATAGACCTCAATGGTTTCAGAACTGTGTTTATGTCAGAAATGTAAAGTTCTATAATCGTTGCTATAGACCTCAATGGTTTCAGAACTGTGTTTATGTCAGAAATGTAAAGTTCTATAATCGTTGCTATAGACCTCAATGGTTTCAGAACTGTGTTTATGTCAGAAATGTACAGTTCTATAATCGTTGCTATAGGTATCAATGGTTTCAGAACTGTGTTTATGTCAGAAATGTAAAGTTCTATAATCGTTGCTATAGACCTCAATGGTTTCAGAACTGTGTTTATGTCAGAAATGTACAGTTCTATAATCGTTGCTATAGACCTCAATGGTTTCAGAACTGTGTTTATGTCAGAAATGTAAAGTTCTATAATCGTTGCTATAGACCTCAATGGTTTCAGAACTGTGTTTATGTCAGAAATGTACAGTTCTATAATCGTTGCTATAGACCTCAATGGTTTCAGAACTGTGTTTATGTCAGAAATGTACAGTTCTCTATAATCGTTGCTATAGACCTCAATGGTTTCAGAACTGTGTTTATGTCAGAAATGTACAGTTCTATAATCGTTGCTATAGACCTCAATGGTTTCAGAACTGTGTTTATGTCAGAAATGTACAGTTCTATAATCGTTGCTATAGACCTCAATGGTTTCAGAACTGTGTTTATGTCAGAAATGTAAAGTTCTATAATCGTTGCTATAGACCTCAATGGTTTCAGAACTGTGTTTATGTCAGAAATGTACAGTTCTATAATCGTTGCTATAGACCTCAATGGTTTCAGAACTGTGTTTATGTCAGAAAAGCTGTAGGCCCCAAGAAGATGGCACTTTGCTACCAGACTGAGAAGACAGTCTTGACACCAAGCACACTCCAGCTGATGCAGGCCCTCCCACAAGCTCCTGAGTTCCAACATACTGAACTTACAGAGTGGAAACAGTCTTTCAGAAGATTCATGACTGACCCCTAGGGGAACCTCCAAGACGTAAGTAGTGAGGTCATTTGTTTCGTGGTATGAAGATGAAGGTCTGATTTTAGACTACACTTTGGTTAGCAAATAAGGTGTTGCTAAGATTGCTTATTTCATGCTTTGTGCAATACTCTCAGAAATCAACCAATTGCTAAGTGGAGATTCATTAATTGAGTCATATTGGATAGAAACCCATGCAATGAGCATGACTGTCTCATCATTAAACAATTTTTGTATCCAACCCATATCCATCACACTAAAAAATTGTTTCCTGTCTGTGTAAACTTACATCCTCTCTGAAACGTTAACAGACAAGATATATCGCAGTTATAATCCCCAAAAGTTATGACAGGATCATGTTTAGGGTTGAGGATCTAGACAAAATAGGAGAACAAAGAAAGGCATTTCCCATTGCCACTTGTAATACTCAAGGCTGAGGAACTGAAAAGACTATGAGAATGAGCTTAGACAAGGTTCAGCTTGCTGTAGTCAGGGAAGCAGATAGAATATTTTTGCTCTGCACCAACAAATAAAATATGGTTAATTCAGCCAACAGTTTAAATCCAAGATATCAGACAGTTAATTTATAAAGTATTTCATCTGTGATTCATGTGTTAAATACTGTGGAACATTGTGAGACTAATCATTTGATGATGATGATTAGCATTCAGTTTTGATATTGTTTAAAACACACAAGCTCATGGTGTTGGTGAAACAGCATAAGCCCATTTGTTCAAACAAGGTGTTATCTACACTTTATACACGGATCTGAACAAAGAAGACACAAACAACAGGCTGCACAGTTTTCCTGCCTGGCATATTTTGCTGTATCGTCAGGTGCATACCACAGCAACAATTGATGTCAACGAAGCAAATAAGTGAATCATTAAAACTGAAATACAAAACTGACTACATTAAAAAAGAAGACTACCAACAGGACAAATGCAGGTTCTCTACCATGCCTTTCTGTCTGCACAAATCTGTATGGATATTCAGGTTTTTACCACTCTAGCCCTACTGTTTTCTCTCGCTCCCTGACAGGTTATTTAAATATACTTTGTTTAAAATGAAACAAGTCATACCAACAACTGTTGTGCTTCCCAGTGGAGCAACGACTGATGCCGGGGCGAAGCCGTATGCCGTGAAGTTGAACAGCTCCCCACCACCCATCAGCACAAGACCCAGCCACCACAGAACTTCTTTTGTGTAATGTCTTTGTGCTTGTATCTCCCTGGCTGCATTCCTGAGGTGGACATATTTCTGGAGAAGAGAAAAGCAAGATAATGCCATGATGAACATCATCATCAGCCTACTGTGTTGTTTAGATTCTGCATTAGGCCCAAAGTCAGTTTCTCCACTCCAGTCCAGACTATTTCATTTAGGCTCATTCAACTGTTTTTCTCCATAAACCTGATCAGCATTGAAAGTCTATGGTAAAGCAGCAGCAAAGAAATCAAAATTAGAATTTTGAGAGCATGCATCTTCCCTGTAGCAACATACAGATGTGAGTCGTGGACTATCTCCCATTCCTTTGAAAAGAAAATAGGGGTTTTTAAACTGAAATGCTATAGAAAGATTCTCTGAATACCATGCACAAAGAAGGAAAAACAAAACAACTGACATTTCAAAAGATCTGAACATCAAGGAAGATTGACTAATAAACAGCATCTTGTCTCAGAAGCTGAACAATGTTGGTCATATAAAGCACCATGGCTAATTGAAATATATAATAAATAGCAGAAGGCATGGTACCAGGAAAGAGGTGCAGGGTCCGACTAATGCAAAAATGGGCACAGGATATAAGTGACTCCTTGAGAGTACATGAGACGGGACAGCTGGTGAGAGACCGAGTTTCTTTCAGGTAGACACTGATGGTAGCAACATTCTGCAAAGGACCTGCTACATAATGATGATCAGCCCCATAAACGATCTTTACAAATAACCTATTTCCAAGTTTCAGTAAAAAGAAATGCAACCTTATAATTCTCCTAAACACAGCCTAAGAAACTCAAGAGGAAGGAAAAAAGAAGCAGAAGAAGTTTTGAGTTTTGGTCCGTGTTTATAAAAAACTATTGAGTCAAAACCTATGACCACCAAGCAGACAGGCAAATGTCAAGGTCACTGCTTCATCATTGTGATCAAGCACCTAAACAAAATGTGTCTAATTTTTTAGTCACTATTTGATGTAAAGGTGACTGGGCTTTTTTGTTTCTTTAAATGAAAGGAAGTAGTCACTAAATACAAACAGAGCAAAGAATTAATGGTTTTCCTTCCATCTGACCATGAAAAAAAGTTTTTTTTTTTTTTACATAGCCAGGTGGAGCAAAGTGATGTCATTATGAGGTTATTATGATGTAATAGTGATGTCATTATGAGGTTATTATGATGTAATAGTGATGTCATTATGAGGTTATTATGATGTAATAGTGATGTCATTATGAGGTTATTATGATGTAATAATGATGTCATTATGAGGTTATTATGATGTAATAGTGATGTCATTATGAGGTTATTATGATGTCAAAGTGATGTCATTATGAGGTTATTATGATGTAATAGTGATGTCATTATGAGGTTATTATGATGTAATAGTGATGTCATTATGAGGTTATTATGATGTAATAGTGATGTCATTATGAGGTTATTATGATGTAATAATGATGTCATTATGAGGTTATTATGATGTAATAGTGATGTCATTATGAGGTTATTATGATGTAATAGTGATGTCATTATGAGGTTATTATGATGTAATAGTGATGTCATTATGAGGTTATTATGAAGTAATAGTGATGTCATTATGAGGTTATTATGATGTAATAGTGATGTCATTATGAGGTTATTATGATGTAATAGTGATGTCATTATGAGGTTATTATGATCTAATAGTGATGTCATTATGAGGTTATTATGATGTAATAGTGATGTAATTATGAGGTTATTTATGAATGTATAAAATAGTGATGTCATTATGAGGTTATTATGATGTAATAGTGATGTGATTATGAGGTTATTATGAAGTAATAGTGATGTCATTATGAGGTTATTATGATGTAATAGTGATGTCATTATGAGGTTATTATGATGTCAAAGTGATGTCATTATGAGGTTATTATGAATGTAATAATGATGTCATATGATGTTATTATGACTGTAATAGTGATGTCATTATGAGGTTATTATGATGTAATAGTGATGTCATTATGAGGTTAGTATGATGTAATAAGTGATGTCATTATGAGGTTATTATGATGTAATAGTGATGTCATTATGAGGTTATTATGATGTCAAAGTGATGTCATTATGAGGTTATTATGATGTAATAATGATGTCATTATGAGGTTATTATGATGTAATAGTGATGTCATTATGAGGTTATTATGATGTAATAGTGATGTCATTATGAGGTTATTATGATGTAATAGTGATGTCATTATGAGGTTATTATGATGTAATGTGATGTCATTATGAGGTTATTATGATTGTAATAGTGATGTCCATTATGAGGTTATTATGATGTAATAATGATGTCATTATGAGGTTATTTATGATGTAATAGTGATGTCATTATGAGGTTATTATGATGTCAAAGTGATGTCATTATGAGGTTATTATGATGTAATAGTGATGTCATTATGAGGTTATTATGATGTAATAGTGATGTCATTATGAGGTTATTATGATGTAATAGTGATGTCATTATGAGGTTATTATGATGTAATAATGATGTCATTATGAGGTTATTATGATGTAATAGTGATGTCATTATGAGGTTATTATGATGTAATAGTGATGTCATTATGAGGTTATTATGATGTAATAGTGATGTCATTATGAGGTTATTATGAAGTAATAGTGATGTCATTATGAGGTTATTATGATGTAATAGTGATGTCATTATGAGGTTATTATGATGTCAAAGTGATGTCATTATAAGGTTATTATAATGTAATAGTGATGTCATTATGAGGTTATTATGATGTAATAGTGATGTCATTATGAGGTTATTATGATGTAATAGTGATGTCATTATGAGGTTATTATGATGTCAAAGTGATGTCATTATGAGGTTATTATGATGTAATAATGATGTCATTATGAGGTTATTATGAAGTAATAGTGATATCATTATGAGGTTATTATGATGTAATAGTGATGTCATTATGAGGTTATTATGATGTAATAGTGATGTCATTATGAGGTTATTATGATGTAATAGTGATGTCATTATGAGGTTATTATGATGTAATAGTGATGTCATTATGAGGTTATTATGATGTAATAGTGATGTCCCAATGACAGACAAGTTAGGGTTTTTTACCCCCAAAAATGGCTTTAATCTTGTTAGGGGTGAATATAATCAAATCTATTATGTCAACACACAATGCAAGTGCAACCAGTATCAAAGCTTATATATAGGATTAGAGGCCACCACTCAAAGACCTCATGTCACTCTAAAAAAAAAAACCATACAAGTCAGAAAACCAACTTTTCTTTGAGTGTCCTCAATATGTAAGTCCATTTGTTTCCCATTTAAGTGCCTATATGGTGATTCTCTGTCCACTAAAGATGTGCTCAATATATCACACTTTTCTTTGCATTTAACTTTCCATCCATTATAATTATATCATGGTAATGAAATCAGGGTAACGGGGTAGTGATGATGTCATGGTAATGATGTAATGCTACTGATTTCCTTCAGATGACACAACAATGAGTCTTACCTGTAAATTAAGTGAAACGCTAATCAGTACGTTCCCACACACAGCCAGGCCACTTCCCAGTGCCAGGTTCTGCAAAACATTCCATGACAATAATCAATAAACACTTGGTGACAAAAATAAATAAACATGAAATAATGAACTCAAGAACTTTCAACAAATCCCAGCAATAGCGGTGTGGATGTGGCTTAGAGCTAGGGTGCTCATCTTGCAGCATGTTTGATTCTTATACACACATCTGGATCCTTTTCAGTGTTACAGAGTTGGTGGACTGTTTTAAGATTCTTCCTGCATGATCACAGGAGAGCGCATTACTTGTTGTCATACCTGTGTACAAGGGAGGCGATCCTTGTCAGTGTTACAGAATTTGGTGCACTGTTTTAAGATTCTCCCTGGAATGTCTATATAATACTGGATCACTGGTAGACATGTCTGTGTACAAGGGAGGCGATCCTTGACAAAAGGAATCAAATCAGGAAGATTGAGGACAGAAACCATTGTGGAACAATAATCATCAGCATTCACTCAGAGATGGCAATGTCAGATTATGTTTGTCTTAAATTATTCATGTTATACTGTATTATCCATATGTTCAGGCACTAAACACATATATGCACACAGCTAACTTAGAATCAAACTCATGCCAGTAGAAAGATACACTCAAAATGTTTTGGTACAAACAATACATAGAAAAGGGGAGGGACACTACCCCCCCCCCCCCCCCCGCCCTTTCCCCCCAAAAAACATTACGTATTTAATTTGAAGCCATTATAAAATAAATTTGTGAGAATAATTCATTCACATTTAGCACACATAAGCTCCTTCACCAGGTCAATATGATTTCTTTAATGGCCACCCTGTCCTGTCCTGTCCTGCCCTGTCCTGTTATGAATTAGTAACATTTGTATTAAAATAGTACAAAAGGGATCTGATTGTGTTTTGAGGTCGGAGTCTATCTGCCTGATGGGCAAGACACCAACAGTTTGGATAGAAATGAGTCGTATCTGTACAAAGGATGTGCATACAACACTCAGGTTCTGGAACAGGACTAGAGTCCATAAGGGGACAAACAACCTGAAACTTTCCGACCCGGTGAACGCCAAGAAGAAGACAATTACATTGTATCCTTTAGTTGATGATCTACAAACCTGATTTATGGTGGATCTTTCAGATTCCAATACATCATCTATTACATGATGTATCTGCTTCATTGTGCTTTCATATTCCTCCCCTGCACCAAGGTCAAGATGAAACTACTGCAGCTACCACTATCGATTTTTATGTTAGTAATCTCTATGGCAGTTACTCAATTATTTAGTAGGATGCACAGTCTGCACTAAGTTACCGGTCTGCAACGGCAACTGGATACAAGACAGTCTTTAGTGACAGGACTAGTTGAGCCTTGTAGCAGTAGAGCACGGTCACACACTTTTTATTTCAACAAAACAACGATGTCCTAATAGTCACCCAACAGCTTCCAGGATCTTTCGCCCTCTCCTATTTATTCTACAATTATACCCGGTCGACGCCCATTTCAGTCCCAATTAATTTATGAATGAACTGTAGTTATTGTAGAGCGAGCATAAAGACCTGGCCGACTTGACTTGACGGCAGCTGGCCGTAAGTGCTGGCTGATTTGAGTGGAATCAATATTGACATCCGGCGAGAGAAGTCGGGCGAGAATTGGCGAGAAGACGCAGACTGACAGGCATCAAATGATCGTCTCTTCCAAATCCTGCTCCTGTCTTCCTCTCTACATCTCCTCACGTATGAATGGATGCTACCTTCTCGCAAAACACCAGCTCGTTTCTCTTGCGATAAGCGTCTTCCATTGTGTATAATCGTGGTTGTGTTAATTGCAGGTTTTTCTGTCGTGTACCAGCGGTTTATGGGAGCCTCCACATCACACAACATGAGCCCACCAGCTAAAGTACAGCCCAAAGAGAAAGCTACAGCTTCAGTGAGTCCTCCGTCGTTTTGTTTGTATTTGATGTTTGTCTTCCGGCAGTCGCCTTAATTGGTACTTCTGGTCTTTTGTTTGCACAATTTTACTGGCTTCGTTCAAGTACAGTGTACAAGTTGGAGTTCTTCTGCACACCCATTTTCTTTGTTGCTTCCTTATCCTTTCTGTTAGTTTTATTTTAAATTTTACTTAGTAACTTAGACCTTACTTGTCAGTAGACCTCTTTATTATTATATGGTCTAGATGACTTTTATGACAAATTTACTGGCATCAGTTTCACACCTCTTAAATAGATTTAAAATAAAAAAAAATTATAATATTGAAAACATAAATAAACTGCTAAATTTCAAAATACTGGCAAAACAACTGATTTGCCATTATGATCTAACTCAGTAATTTCAATAATAAATTAAATATTGCAAACAAGCCTTGAAGGTGAAAGCTTTCTGTTGATCTGTTAATTATCATCAACATTAGTAAATGATGGGAGCAGCAAAAAAGACGCAAACTGTGTATACCAAGGAACATGAGCTACGGCTATCCTCCGAATAACGGTCCTAAATTATTGAGGCCAAAAATATATACTAACAGGGCCTCAGTCACGTGTCAATTGCAAACTTCCAGCTACTTAAATTGCGCACTTGCCTCAAGTTCCGCAAACACCAAGAGTATCCCCCACGCCGCTCACCTGGCGTGGATTGGGGCTAAACTAGATGGCTGGGACTCATGAGCAGCAGCTACCGTATCTCCTGCAGCTTCCTTCATTTTATTTTCCCATGAGTCCTAGCCATCTAGTTTGGCCCCAATCCACGCCGCATGAGCGGCGTGGAGGATACTCTTGGTGGTGGCGGAAGTTGCCGGAAGTTCGCAATTCGACGGTGGCATAGTCCCCGGAAGTGTGCAGTTGACACGTGACTGAGGCCCTGTTATGGTATATTTTCCGCCTCAATAATTTAGGACCGTTATTCGGTGGATAGCCAGAGCTACGATGTATTAAGTAACATACAACTCATTTGACAGCAGATAGAATATTAAATGTGGACAAAAAGAACATAATTCAAGATGGACAGAGTATATGCAATGAGCTATGTATGTGACTTTTGGATAATCAGCAGATTAGGTAGAAAATTATTTTAAAACGTGATACGTGCGGTTTTAAAGAAGATTACTACAGACATATAAAATGTGCAGTGGCGATGTCTTGGATGAAGTCAATTTACGGAAAACTGATGATCTGCATCAGAGACTGACAGTCGACAAATTTGTGCAAGTCACAAGAAGTTGGAAACTGTAATACATCATGATAGTTGGAGAGGTGGCAGAAATCAAAAGAGATGTTGGACAGTTTGGAATCATGACTTGCAAGAATATCTGTGTCAGAAATGATTGGCAGTACACGAGGCAAAAGAATGCTGTGGGAATGCTGTGTGTAATCGTACTTGATGGCTGGGACTTTCAAAGCCTAGACATTTTGTAAATATGTTACGTCACAGAATAGATATTTATACAAGACAGCTGCTGAGCTGTGGAACAATCTTTCGTCACAATCTGTACTATTTATCACAAACCCTTTTTGTGTTTCATGTATTTATTATTAATGAAGAATTGACATCTCCCAAACCGTGACCAATACACAGGTTTTTTAAATTTGCAATTATGACTACAATGTTTAATTTAACAGTCACATTAGTGGCCCACACTATTGTGCATTTCTTTATTTATTGTGACAATCAGTAAAATTAAACTTTCGCTGGAGTTATATCCCTTTAAATATTTTCTCTAAACACTCCTTTAAAAACTTTTTTATATTATCTTGTACTTTGTCGTATTTTCTTTAGCCATATGACATAACACCTGACACGCTAGGGTCGTGGAAGTGTGTCAATTGGAGGACAATCTCATTCTCTGCTTTTCACTTTTTGAACAAATGTAAAATAATTTAGTCCTGTCCATTTCTTAATATTGTCATTCAGGGTTCTTCAACTCCTTTCCCCCCCCCCCCCCCTCCATATTATGTCTATAATATATTGTTATTACTTAAGATTTACCTGTTAAAGGATGCGTGAATGAAATCATACCTGAAAGCTGTCAAGTAAGAAGGGCAAATGTTAGACTGACTGCTGACATTGGTCGACAATGTTCCCCCTCACCCCAATCCTCTTTTTGTTTTCTAGAATGTTGTGTATAGATATCGGCAGACAGCTCATAAATTTGAAGAGAAAAACAAACATAAAAGCTGCACAATAAATGGTACTACCAGTCAATTCAGTTATCCCAGTCAGTTAACAGTAACCTCAGCCAGTGATTATGCCTGGTCCGTTCCATGGGCCTGTTAGCCAAGTGACTGATCAGTGCCCTGGTGCTACTTCTACTTGCTGGTGTTCTTGATTGATTTTTTGATGTCCTTACGGTAACAGATTGATTTATATGTTAGTTGTCTTAATGATGACAAACTGATGGCTGATAATTGTCTTCGTGATAACAGATTGATTGAGCAGTTTTCATGGTAACAGCTTCATTTTTAAGCTCTTTAAAAATAATTTCGTAATAAAATGGGCCTAGATTCACATTCTTATGTCACCGCAGGAGAGATGCATATTCACAGAGCTGTTACTTTTACTGCTGGTGTTGTTAATATTTGCTCTTTATGTTGTTTAAATATGAGCATACATATAGACATACCCTCCCCCCTTCCCCCCCACGGACACAAACTTGTTCCTGGTTCATCGTTTGTCTGAGTCTGTTTTGTCATTTGTTGAGTAAAGTGATTCCTGCAACTGAATTGTTCAATCTGCAATGTCTGTGTCCATTATTGTAAACAAATATGTTGAAAATATGCTGCGTAGTTCATAATACAGTTTCACATCAGGTTTCTGCCACACACATTATCTTTTGCTTTCCATCTTTCTTTGTTTCCCTGTGGCACTCTTCTCTTTTTGTTTTCATCTTATTCCTCTTCTGCATCTTATATTTGTAATTTTCTCTAGAGATCTCATCTGCCTGTCTTTTTTTGTTTTGTCAATCTCTCTACCTTTTTCCCCTCCTAATTCTGATTTTTGTCCTTTTGGCTTGTTTTCTGTCTTTTTATCTTCTTTTACTCTCTTTACTCTCTAGCTGTTTTTAACTCACTTTACCTCTTGCCGTTTTCTCTGTCTCTTTTTTTCCCTTACATTCTCTTCAGCTGTCATGACCCTCACACACACACACCAACTCATTTATGTGCCACTGTCACTTCCTCCCACACACACACCATCTCATTTCTGTGCCACTGTCACCTCCTCCCACTCTCTCGTTCAAACAAACAATTGTTGATTGCAGCAGCTGAGCAATCAGTGTTTGCCCATCGTGAATGGAGGCATTGATGGCCCGATGCAGAGCATTGATTAGTGAAGCCATTGAGTCACATATTGATTTTCTTGTGGGTTTGCTGGCGTAATCAGTTTGGAGTGATTGAAGCCTAATGACATGTCTATAGTTGTTGAGTGCTGCTAGCTTTTGTGTGTTATTTGTATTCCATGTAGAAGGAAGTATAGGTGTCACATAAAGGTGTGAAATGGGAGGAAGACAGAAATGTGTGAAATAGGAGGAAGACAGAAGTGTGTGAAATGGGAGGTAGACAGAAGTGTGGGGTTTTAAATGATTCACAGTATTGGTAAATTTTTTTTTATTTTTTGTTTAATGAAATGTAGTATTTAGGATAAAACATTTGTGGTGTACATCAGAAGTGGTATCATATGCTAGAAATGTTTGTATGTACATGGTATCTGTTTTAGTTTGCTAGGTGACCACCTCCTTTGCAGATTTGTGTGGGTGCATTCTCAGGGAATTTGGGCGTCTTTTATAATTTTGCTGAGTAACGCAATTCTGCAACTTTTAATTTGCATTGCAATCATCTTCTTCACGTTCACGACTCCGGTGGAAAATTCTCATTCTTTGTCCACTTCTGGACTAGTCCTGTTCTAGAATCTAAATGTTACATGCATATCAGTTTTACAGATCTTGACTCTTTTGTATGCAGCCTGTTTGTTCCCTGCCTCTCAGGCAAATGGATACTGACTTTGTCAAATCAACTCTTATGACATACTTTTGGGTAAGCAGTGGGTTTATTCTGTCTTTATCCCCACATGGAACCTGGAACCCACATGGAGATAATTTCACTCAGATGCTTTTCATGAATTGAAACAGTTGACAGCCCTGATACCACGGAGATTTCTCATAAGTGTCTCTGTTTCTGTTGATATGACATGTACTTATTTTCTTCGACTCACACGAGCTAAGACCCTTAGCTTCTGTGCTTGACATCAACCTAACTGACCATTTAGTCCCCTTCCCCGGTCACAACAAGGACAACGAGTCTGAAGATCGACTCCCCCACCTCCTACACTCACAGCTTGCCCTGCAGTGTAAGTCCGCTGGGCCAGATCCCCATCCCCGGCTGAGAATAGCTAGGCCAATCTTACAGTGCTTGTTCAGGGGTCCTGCTCCACTAATGGCAGGTACTTCTCTGTCTCTTTGGTGTAGGTGTACTAAAAAACTGCAGTGTCCCATCTAAGTCTAGAAATTGTTGTTTGTTCACACTCTTGTTAAGTTTGTTTATGCTGTCACTCCCCCCCCCCCCCCCCCCCATCTTTCCAAAAGACTGTTTTGGTTTTCTGTATTAAATGAGTATTACTCCCATGTCATCTGCTTCCTTATCTCCTGAAGTAACACAGTGAGCTGATATACACCACATGACTAGTTCTGCTTCCTTATCTCCTGAAGTAACACAGTGAGCTGGTATCTACCACAGGACTAGTTCTGCTTCCTTATCTCCTGAAGTAACACAGTGAGCTGGTATCCACCACAGGACTAGTTCTGCTTCCTTATCTCCTGAAGTAACACGGTGAGCTGGTATCCACCACAGGACTAGTTCTGCTTCCTTATCTCCTGAAGTAACACGGTGAGCTGGTATGCACCACAGGACTAGTTCTGCTTCCTTATCTCCTGAAGTAACACGGTGAGCTGGTATGCACCACAGGACTAGTTCTGCTTCCTTATCTCCTGAAGTAACACGGTGAGCTGGTATCCACCACAGGACTAGTTCTGCTCCCTTATCTCCCGACGTAACACAGTGAGCTGGTATCTACCACAGGACTAGTTCTGCTTCCTTATCTCCTGAAGTAACACGGTGAGCTGGTATCCACCACAGGACTAGTTCTGCTTCCTTATCTCCTGAAGTAACACTGTGAGCTGGTATCCACCACAGGACTAGTTCTGCTCCCTTATCTCCTGAAGTAACATGGTGAGCTGGTATCTACCACAGGACTAGTTCTGCTTCCTTATCTCCTGAAGTAACACGGTGAGCTGGTATCCACCACAGGACTAGTTCTGCTTCCTTATCTCCTGAAGTAACACGGTGAGCTGGTATCCACCACAGGACTAGTTCTGCTTTCATAACTCCTGAAGTAACACGGTGAGCTGGTATCCACCACATGACTAGTTCTGCTTCCTTATCTCCTGAAGTAACACGGTGAGCTGGTATCCACCACAGGACTAGTTCTGCTTCCTTATCTCCTGAAGTAACACGGTGAGCTGGTATCCACCACAGGACTAGTTCTGCTTCCTTATCTCCTGAAGTAACACGGTGAGCTGGTATCCACCACAGGACTAGTTCTGCTTCCTTATCTCCTGAAGTAACACGGTGAGCTGGTATCCACCACAGGACTAGTTCTGCTTCCTTATCTCCTGAAGTAACATGGTGAGCTGGTATCCACCACAGGACTAGTTCTGCTTCCTTATCTCCTGAAGTAACACGGTGAGCTGGTATCCACCACAGGACTAGTTCTGCTTCCTTATCTCCTGAAGTAACACGGTGAGCTGGTATCCACCACAGGACTAGTTCTGCTTCCTTATCTCCTGAAGTAACACGGTGAGCTGGTATCCACCACAGGACTAGTTCTGCTTCCTTATCTCCTGAAGTAACACGGTGAGCTGGTATCCACCACAGGACTAGTTCTGCTTCCTTAGAAAGCAGGCTTGTGCTGGTGCTCAAATCTGCAATGAGTTTTTCTTGCTATTTGCTCAGTCGTGCTTTGAGAACAGACAGTGAGTCACTGAGTATAACAATCTGCTGATGCTTTGACTTTGTAGTTTGTGGGGATTTCACCTGCTGGATGTTTTATACTCTGCTACTGGGGTATTTGTTGATGCTTTTACGACCACAGTAGCATTTGCTCCGGCTACCTGTGTCTAAGGGTAGTTGTAGGACTGCACACTTTTGCTTGCCTTGTATATTTAGTTAAAATTGTTTGATCATATAAAAAGACAGTGCTCCTTGTTGAAGTATTTGCTGTATACAAAAAAAAAAAAAGAGATAGACAGTCTAGTAGTTGACAATAGGAGATAGACCATAAAGTCATGGGTAAGAGGGAATAGAGAACCATTACAGTGAACATCCAGTGTGTAGACAATAAACTGCAGCAGAAAGTTCTGGTTGTTTGTCCACTTCTGGACTTTGGTCTTGTTCCATAACTTGAGTTTTGTGTGCATATCCATTTTACATACATGGCTTATTTGTGTGAACACTGTTGGTTCCTCGTCTCTCAGGCAGATGCACTATTTGTGTGAACACTGTTGGTTCCTTGCCTCTCAGGCAGATACACTGTTTGTGTGAACACTGTTGGTTCCTTGCCTCTCAGGCAGATGCACTCCGACTTTAGAGTAAATTTAATAACTTTGAAATGGAATAAAAATAATCAGTTTGTAAATCTGTTTCTCTCGTTAGGTGATCTTCCTTCATGGACTAGGAGATAATGGGTAATGTATTCAGCTTGACAGACTTGTCCTCTTGTGTCATCTCTTGTATGTTGATTTCTTGCTGTTGAATATTCACTTTATGGTTTCTATTTGTCCATACTACGGTTTAGATGTTATCATTGATAATTTTGAAGTAATTACATAAAATTGATGCTTTTAAACTTAAATACTACAGGTAAACAAAAAAATCAATACTGTGGATAAAGGATACAATGTATTTGCACCTTGAGGGAAAATTGACTTATAAATCTGTAATTTTTGTGAGTTTTTGGAAATACCTTTGGTGTCATGAAATATCACAGCCGATTAAAAAGAACAGGAAATGAAGGCAGGTTTCTACAAGACGCAGGGGTAATGAATGGTAAAGGTGGACACAAGGCTTCAAAGAGACAACCTGAGCATGACAGTGCATGAGGCAGGACAACAGTCAGCAAACCTGGATGCTTTTTTTTAACATTACAATGGAATTTCATATTTTCAGTGTTACATATCCAGATTTTGATGTTACTCATCCCCCCCCCCCCCCCTCTTTTGTGTTTTTTTAAACTTGTTCTTTTTTTGGTAATTTTTTAAAAATTGTTTTTGTTTTACATAGAGAATTAAATGTGTAACCTTCCATTTGTTTCTTGTTCAAATTGCTTGATATATTTTGATGTTCTATTACAATTTCTGTGAGTCCAATGCCCCCTCATGGCGCAGTATAACACTATGGTCTGGAAAGGTGCCAATCAAAATGAAAATCGGTGCTCCAAGTTGTTGACCCCTGAAAATGCCATCGTCTTCTAGCATGTCCTACTCTTAATCTTTGTCACTCACACATCTTCCATCAGATGCTGTAATTATCCTTCATATTTTAAGGGGTTAACCTGCTTAACGCTTCAAGTACCAAACATACATTTTTTTAACTTCTCTTTTTCTAAGCAATAGTTGCTTAAAGGAATATTGTGTTTGGGTTGAAAGGTTCCAGCTTTAACACTGTGTCAGAAGTAACTGTTCAAATGAGTTACAGTTAGAGCTGACACAAAAACTCTGAAACTTCAGCTGGCTACAAAACTCCCATAGACTTAAAGTGAGTTCAAACTAAAGGACTTTGCTTTCTTTTGTAACTTCATACTTTGGTGTTTGTTACTTCTTTGTTGAGACCATTGTTTCTGTCTTGATATTTAAGGATAACATCATCAAGATTTACAAAAATGTGTCCTAAATAGTGGCTTGGTTTACTGATTGCCATTTGGTCGCACACACTTAGGTTGCATCTCTTCCTGTGTATGCCAGATTGGATTCCATCAGTAATAACTGCATGTAATTGTGACTGTCATGAATTTCCTCATGCAACAAGCTGTCATCTAAAGACATTATTGTATCTCCATGTTTTACCCATGTTCTACCCCTAGTTGGATGGATCTTTAATTTCCTCTGCACACAGCAAGGTAAAAGATCGTCTATATAAACTCACCCACTATGGTGCCCCATTGACCTGCAAATGGTGCGATGAGATATCATGATAAGATGATAATCTACATAAAATTTATACACTTACAATGCTTGTCCTAGTCTTTTGTTGCCACATTTTATGTCACATATATTAACCTCATGTTTATTGTTGACTCCACAGCCAAGGCTGGGTCGAACAGTTTCGAGAATATTCCTTCAAGCATATACGATGTGTGTGTCCACATGCGTAAGTTTATGTGTGTACTTTTTAATCCTCGGTAATTTTGTGTGAATTTATGCTCCGGATGTCTCCTTGGCTGAGAGATTAAACTATTTGTCTTGAGCTTTGAAGGTTGTGGATTAATTTTACAGACTGTAGTACGGTTCTCAGAAACATTCTTAAAATAGAATGGACGGGGGGAGGGGGGGAACATATTTTTCCAGTGGTCACAAAGTGTGCTTCTCATAGCATGATTCCTCCCCCCCCCTCCCCCTTTTTTGTGGTTTCCAATGTTTGTGAGCCTTATAGTACTTGAAAATTGTGCAAATCAAAAGAAATTAAATGAAATTTCAGCTACTGTGAACATCAAATAATGAGTGCTGGATGGAACTGAAGTATGAAGAACACCCAAAACTATTGTTAATCAACTTTAAACATTCATTTATTGGAGTCTATGCAGAACAGAAAGGCTCAAATGAAATGACAGTCATCAGGGAGAAAACTTAACCATCAGTGATTCAAGAGACGGGGTAAAGATTCTGTTCCACGCAGTAAAAATTGCTGTTACTGTTTCCGCTATGTCTTGTTTCTCTGTGTATTTTTCATACATTAATACTTGCTGTTTTTATTTCCGTTATGTTTCTCTGTATATATTTCATACATTAATATTTGCAGTTACTATTTCCGCTATGTCTTGTTTCTCTGTGTATATTTCATACATTAATATTTGCTAATGTTGCATTTTGTCACATGTTTAGACCACTCAAGTCAGTGACACTGAATGCTGGGATGATTATGCCGTCGTGGTGAGTAGATTTTGTTGTTTCTCTCTTCTAGACTCTTGCAGCCTTCCTCTCTTTGCTAGACACAAATTGTATGAAAGATTATAGCTGTATTAGGATTTATATTGCTACAGGAAAGTTGCAAATTCTGACCATTTTTAATTTGTTCTTGCTTTTGTTGTGTCAAGATAGGTTCTTAATAGTGTTTACTTCAACATTTTGCAACATCGTCCAGTTTCTGTTAAGTTTCCGCATTACTATTATTTGTGTATTGGGTATTACATTTTGTGGTAGATTTTTTCATTGTTGGTTATAATTTTTTTGTCTTTTTTTTAGGAGCATATAGTATGTTTGAGTCACTTGGGACCATTCATAGACCTGTGTCATCTGCATATCCAAGTTCTGGAATTGTATATCTATCAACTATACATAGCTGCAGGTTTTTTAGAGTTAATAATAACACTTCTTCTTACATCTCCTGCATGGATGTTGAAGACAGGGGAGAGAATGCGGGCCTGTTCGCCTGGAGTAGAATCGTGAAATGTGATACAGAAATCAGTGTAGATCATGTGATGAGTGACTGAATGCAGGCAGGGTGAGGTAATGTTTGTCAATCTCTTCTGTCAGGTTTGACATCAAAGGTCTGACTCCAAACAGTCCCGAGGATGAGCACGGCATTAAAGAAGCATCCAGAGAATGTAAGCACTTGTCGCTGAAGATGTTCAGTGTGTGCTTTGTTGTAACATTAGTTTGTTCACTGAAGATGTTCAGAGGGAATTTGTTGTAACATCAGTTGGTTTTCTTCTGGCCATATATTTCACATCATTATGTTTATACACTGTGTGCTACTGGTTCGCCTTATATAATTCATAGCTTCCCAGAAGTGTACATTCAGAATGATTCCTTCCTTGCGAGTCAGACTGGTTATAATCAGACTTATCTAATACTATAACTTGATGCACATAGTTACTGATTCAACAGACAACTTTCCTCAGGTCATTGCTCTGGAGCACTGTTTCCTAACCTTATTCACTCTCTAGAAACAGACCCAGTTTGTGTTTGCATAGTTTCATCTCATTGGATGTCATGCCTTTGACATTCTTCCTTAAGCCTTGCATGTGATTGGTTGAATTTTTCAGCTACATTTTTCAGTGTTATTGTGATCGAGATCCTGGGTCGTCTGGTGTGGCCGTCGCTCCAGGATATCTCTGAGAAAGTTGACCTACACAATTGTCTTTGGAGTATGGCCTGTCCTCCTTGGTTGCCTCTTATGACATGCATTGTAGCTTCCAGGAATACTGTTGGGTGCTTTCCTGGTGAGAGTAACACACTACAGGTTATAGGATTACTGTTGTGTGCACCCCCAATGAGACTCAGTAACACATGAATGACAGGCTGTTAACATTACAGGATTAATATTCTGTGCTTCTCCGACTGGACCCAGTAATGCATAGCAGGCTGTCAATATTACAGACTTACTCTTCTGTGCTTCTCGCTAAGACCCAGTAATGCATGACAGGCTGGTAACATTACAGGATTACTGCTCTATGCTTCCCCCATGAGAAACAGTAATGCATGACAGGCTGGTAACATTACAGGATTACTGTTCTGTGCTTCCCCCATGAGAAACAGTAATGCATGATTGGCTGGTAACATTACAGGATTACTGTTCTGTGCTTCCCCCATGAGAAACAGTAATGCATGACAGGCTGTTAGTATTAGGAAAAGAAGTTCTATATATTATTTGAGGAAATATCACACAGGAATTAAAGGGGAATAGATGAAACATCATTTGCATTTCTGAGAAGTAAAACTATGCAGTTATGAATAAACAATTTTACTGACTTCTCAGTCACAAGCAGGTTTGCATTTTGGAGATCAAACATGAAAAAGGCACCCCGAAGTCATGAACTAGTTACCTGACATGTCTCTGAGTTACATTAGTTATTCAACAGATCATCGTCACTGCACATTGAACCATTCATTTAGTCCATAAGACGCTTGGATCCCCTCCTCTGTCAATCTCTTGCATATAGCATCTGACGACACCAGTTCTTTGTTTTTTGCTGTTATTATTATTCATTTTCCTGCATTTTGATCTTTGAGTTTTGAGGGTCCCATACTAAGAACCAAGTAATCTGTTGACATCCGATTCATAATGGGAAAAGTTGACTATCTTTCAGACTCAGAAAAGAGACAAAGATAACAGTGGGTCTCACCATCATAATGATTATCTGTCTTACTCTGTGCTGTGGGAAGTTGATGATCATTGTGGTGTGTGTATTTTCAGTGCAGCATTTGATAGCCAAGGAAATCAGTGATGGGATTCCTGCAGAAAAGATCATCATTGGAGGCTTTTCTCAAGGGGGTTCAGTAGCTTTGTACACTGCCTTTGGCACCAACACCAGAGTGGGTGGAGTTGTGGCGCTTAGCACATGGTTGCCCCTCAATAAACAGTTCACTAATGATGGCGTAAGTGACATTCATACAGGTTTTTAAAAATTAAAAAGTTATGATATAGGCACTAAAGTCTCGCCAGCATATATACATGTGGATGTGTGCAGTGTGCTGTATCCATGATCCAGTGATGACCACAACTGTTTTCTCTTGCCTGTCCTATAAAAAATGTGTCATTGACCACACACATCCAAATCTCTGTGTGTATCTTGCTTGAGAAATGTTCATGACTCTAATGGTAAAGACACAATTCCTTCTGACTTCCTTCATGTTCAATGTTTTTGCCTTTTTATAATTTAACTGTCATATTATGTCACTTAATTATCATACTTTCATGTCTTTTCCTCATTGTACCCAAAGGATCTCTGTGCAGCAGTGATAGTGCTCTGTACTTGTCTCCAGATCTGAGGGATCCAGATCGAACCCCAGTGACCCACCATTAGTATAGTTATAGTTCTACTATGCAAACTAGAGTCGGCTCTGTGGCTAAGTCGATGCGAACACTTCGCTTCGTAATGCCGGGATGCCAGGTTCGATCCCAGCTGCGGGCAATGCGCCTTGCCTTGGTTTCGACAGTGGTATCAAGAAAGCCGACCGTCCAGAAAGCAATGGCAAACTACTGGACGTAAATTTGCCTAGAGAAACCACACAACAGCCAGGGGCTGTTAGGGTTGGTTCTGCAACGTCCTCTAGTGGATACGCAACAACCTTTAAAATGCAAACTAGATTGGTGCCACATACACAGTGTGCTTCAAGATGTGTAGGTTTTGTTTTTAAAAATAGTATTTGACGCGAGAGTTGGCCCAGTTTTCATTCAAGTGGAAAGTGTGATTCAGGTGAGAGTAGGAGGTCGGCAATTTCATACCCACAGGCAAAATTTACTGGAGGAACTTTTAATCAGGCTATAGCTGATGACCTCATTATATGAATTCTTTGTTGGCTAGTCAGGAAGGGGAAGGGAAAGGGTGGGAATGTCCCAGGTGCAGTTCTCGGTTCGTTCATTGATTCAAGTAGCAGGTTTTTTTTTTTTTTCTGATTGGAAAGAGAGGTAGTTGTTCTGTCTCCTAATTCTGCAGTCATGCTTATCTGAAAGTCCTCTAACTTCCTACTTCAGCACTGTGGTAGCCTTTTGGCTCTCGTGTGTGTGTGTTTGTGACTTTGTTGGTTGTGTTTGATATTTTTGTCTTCATTATGAAAGTCTTTGAAGGAGAAACTACTATCTGTTCAGTTTCTGTTACCCAGAATCCTCTGCTTGCCTGAATGTATAAAACAGTCCTGAGCAAACCACCATGTTTGTTCAGCTGTTGTTTGTATTGTTTACTTTTGGTCTTAACAATTCAAAAATCAGACTGAATGTTTTAACATTTAGCATTGTAGATGTTACATCATTAAAAGAGAACAAACACATGCATAAATGTTTTTGTTGTTGTTTTTTTTTTTTGGGGGGGGGGGTCCCCTTTTGAGATATGTTGGAAAGAAATAGTAAAGAGTAGTCTGTCCTTGACTTCAGAAGTCAAGTGTTGGCCGCTTCTTGTGTGATGTTTGGAAAGCCTTGAAATCTGCATCTTTTGTTAATGATTTGTTGCTTTTTTTCCTTTATTTCTTTGTGTTTATAGTTCAACATGCACAATACCCCACTTCACTGTTTTCAGACACCCACTATTTTTGCATGTTGTAATCACGGGCAGGTTGGTACTACACATTCTTTGAACACTTGGTCACTTTTATGTTTTGCCAGTTTTTTAAGGGGTGAAGTTGTTTCTGGCACTATTTTGTTGTTCTTGGGTTGATTGTCCTCTCTCTGTCTGTCTGTCTTTATGTGTGTGTGCCCTTTATCTGGTCTGGGCCACTGCCACTTCTGGGTATCTTACAGTCCATGCCAGTACAGGAGTTAGTATGACCTCTCTTTCTATCACCTCTAACTCCTTTAAATGTGCATGCTGACCTACGACTCTTATAAACTTTACCATGGTCTCTTTTATTCTCTCATACTCTCTCTGTATGTGTACATATGCATATCTGTTTGCATACATGCATGGTAGCCTTTACAGTATTCATATGACGTACAGGCGGACCCCTGTATTTCCCAAGTAAAATCAGGAGAGTTGTCCTTGATATACCATTGACAAGCGGTGTTTACTGTCTTGCTGTCAGTATGTGTCAGAGCTACTCGACTGTTTACTGTCTTGCTGTCAGTATATGTCAGGGCTATTTAACTGTTTACTGTCTTGCTTCCAGTATATGTCAGAGCTACTCGACTGTTTACTATCTTGCTGCAGTATATGTCAGGGCTACTTGACTGTTTACTGTCTTGCTGTTAGTATATATCAGAGCTACTCGACTGTGTTAACCATAATCTTGGCTGTCTCAGTATATGTCAGGGCTACGCGACAAATGGTTTACTGTCGTGCTGTCAGTATAGATGTCAGAGCTACGGTACGACCTGATGTTACTATCTTGATGTCAGAGCATACTCTCGACTGGTTACTTAAAAAACCCACTATCTGCTGCAGTATATGTCATTGCTTATGTTAACTGGTTTACTTGTCTTGCTTCCAGTATATGTCGTCAGCGCTACTCCGGACTGTTTACCTATCTTGCTGCAGTATATATCAGGGCTATGTAAAACTGTTATACTGTCTTGCTTCCAGTATATGTCCAGAGCTACTCGACTGTTTACTATCTTGCTGCAGTATAATGTCCATGGCTAACTTCGACTGTTTAACTGTCTTGCTGTCAGTATGTGTTTTCATATGCTACTCGGACTGTTTACTGCTCTTGCTGTCCAGTATATGTGCAGAGCGCACTCGACTGTTTACCTATCTTGCTGCCGAGTATATGTTCAGGCCTACTCGATCTGTTTACTGTCTTGCTGTCAGTATGTGTCATGGCTACTCTGACTGTTTACTCTATATTCGCCAGTCAGTATATGTCATGGCTACTTGACTGTCTTGCTGTCAAGTATATGTCAGAGCTAAGCTAACTGTTGACTTTCTTGCGCTGTCCTATACTGTCAGAGCTCACTTGACTGGTTTTACTATCATTGCTGATCAGTCTATGTCATGGCTATTCGACTGTTTGCTGTCAGTATATGTCAGGGCTACTCGACTGTTTACTGTCTTGCTGTCAGTATATGTCAGAGCTACTCGACTGTTTACTGTCTTGCTGTCAGTATATGTCAGAGCTACTCGACTGTTTACTGTCTTGCTGTCAGTATATGTCAGAGCTACTCGACTGTTTACTGTCTTGCTGTCAGTATATGTCAGGGCTAGTTTACTGTCAGTATATGTCAGAGCTACTCTACTGTTTACTATTTTGCTGTCAGTATATGTCAGGGCTACTCTACTGTTTACTGTCTTGCTGTCAGTATATGTCGGGGCTACTCGACTGTTTACTGTAATGCTGTCAGTATATGTCGGGGCTACTCGACTGTTTACTGTAATGCTGTCAGTATATGTCAGAGCTACTCGACTGTTTACTATCTTGCTGTCAGTATATGTCGGGGCTACTCGACTGTTTACTGTAATGCTGTCAGTATATGTCAGGGCTACTCGACTGTTTACTGTAATGCTGTCAGTAAGTGTCAGAGCTACTCGACTGTTTACTATCTTGCTGTCAGTATATGTCAGGGCTACTCGACTGTTTACTGTAATGCTGTCAGTATATGTCAGGGCTACTCGACTGTTTACTGTAATGCTGTCAGTATATGTCAGGGCTACTCGACTGTTTACTGTAATGCTGTCAGTATATGTCAGAGCTACTCGACTGTTTACTATCTTGCTGTCAGTATATGTCAGAGCTACTCTACTGTTTACTTTCTTGCTGTCAGTATATGTCAGAGCTACTTGACTGTTTACTATCTTGCTGTCAGTCTATGTCAGGGCTATTCGACTGTTTGCTGTCAGTATATGTCAGGGCTACTTGACTGTTTACTGTCTTGCTGTCAGTATATGTCAGAGCTACTCGACTGTTTACTGTCTTGCTGTCAGTATATGTCAGAGCTACTCGACTGTTTACTGTCTTGCTGTCAGTATATGTAAGAGCTACTCGACTGTTTACTGTCTTGCTGTCAGTATATGTCAGAGCTACTCGACTGTTTACTGTCTTGCTGTCAGTATATGTCAGAGCTACTCGACTGTTTACTGTCTTGCTGTCAGTAATGCAGGGCTAGTTTACTGTCAGTATATGTCAGAGCTAACTCTAACTGTTTACACCTATTTTGCTGTCAGTATATGTCAGGGCTACTCTACTGTTTACTGTCTTGCTGTCAGTATATGTCGGGGGATACTCGACTGTTTACTGTACTGCTGTCAGTATATGTCGGGGCTACTCGACTGTTACTGTAATGCTGTCAGTATATGTCAGAGCTACTCGACTGTTTACTGTCTTGCTGTCAGTATATGTCGGGGCTACTCGACTGTTTACTGTAATGCTGTCAGTATATGTCAGGGCTACTCGACTGTTTACTATCTTGCTGTCAGTATATGTCAGGGCTACTCGACTGTTTACTGTCTTGCTGTCAGTATATGTCAGAGCTACTCGACTGTTTACTCGTGGGGCGAACATTTTGAAAATGAGGATCATTATTTGCTAGAGGCCCCAGCCCCAGCATAGAAAGATTATTAATACAATACAACTGGCAATGATCTGCGGGCCACTTGATAGGCCTCCGCGGGCCACTTGATAGGCCTCCGCGGGCCACTTGATACGCCTCCACGGGCCACTTGATAGGCCTCCACGTGCCACTTGATAGGCCTCCACGTGCCACCAGTTGAATAGCCTTGAGATAACATGATGCGTATTTTATTATACATGCTTTGCCTGACTCTGTTGTGAACCTTACTTTATATAATATATTTTTTGTTTCTTAACTTCATTGTGAAATATTTCATGAAAAAATATGTGTATCATAGACTCAGGCACCTTGAGGACCCCCCCCCCCCCCCCCCCCCCCCCCCCCCCTGTGTCTAAACTTCAAATATATAATTTTTATTTGTCTTTCAGCCTATAGTGTTACACATAGTGTTACATATAGATGTTTACACATAGTATTACATATAGTGTTACAGAATCCACCCAAAAAAATGTATACACAGTGATCGCCCTGCAGCGAAATGCATAAATATTTGTATTTAAAAACATCATTATCACTTGAAATACTTCACCATATTTAGATCACATTAGGGTAGCTATGTGTTGCATTATGGTTATAAAAAGTGTCTGGAGGCCAATGGGAATCACTTTGAGCAACTGTAGCAACTTCATACATCACATGTAACTTGTATGCATCTCTTCATGTGTGAATAAATTTAGTGTCAAAATGTTTCTACAGATTGTTATTGAAAAAACTCCTTGCAACACATTACTACTGTAATGTATTCAAAGATCGCAAATATTGTATTTCACAGCTGGTCTAACTCTCTAATAATACTTCAGAAAAAAACCTATATAGGTTCTGAGGCCCATTGTGGGGACAAGACTAGACACACACTGCCTTCCTAAGTAGCATGTCGTAAGAGTCAACTGCTTAGGGTTTTCCTTTATAGTTGGAGTGCATCTGCCTGAGAGACAAGGAACCAACAGTCTGCATACAAATTAGCCAGATTTAAAGAACAAAAATGCTCTCAAAACTCAAGTTGTCAAAAAGGACTGGAGTCCAGAATTTGAACAACCAGGATATTTCATCAGAGTTTACAGCTGGTCAGCACAAAGAAGCTTGTTATTATTGTACAGTTAAACAAGGCTTAAGCCTTTTTCTCGGGCCCTCCCTCCAATCATTGACTGACACTGTGCCTACCATGTTTCCTAATTAGTTGGTGACTGTCCCTTATTTTGTTTCCTGAGGTTTGGCTTATACATTTCTTCTCACATGTTGTAATTCTTCATTTATGTTTTTCTAGCATTGTCCATTCTGGCATTGAAAGTACAGATTTGGTAATAATGTTGCATGTATTAGCCTGCTTTTATGTGTCTATATTAATATTATAATGCCTTAAATATTAGTTTTTATATTCCTTGATAATTAGTCTTTTTCTGCTTGTCTTATATCCTTTGAAGTTTAGGTCCTCAACCAAATCTTGTGTTTAAAACCCTCATGTTACTTTTCTGTTTTAATGGGTCTACAGAGCCCAAAATACAATACAGACATCCCAGTGTTGCAGTGTCATGGGCTTGCTGATCCGCTAGTGCCGCACAAATGGGGTCAGGCGACCCATGAGATCATCAAAACCTTCAACCCAAACGCCCAGTTCAAGTCTTACAGTGGGCTGGGCCATAGCTCCTGTTCTGAGGTGAGGCTCTTGTGTAGAGATTACATCTGCTTCTCACTGTACCATCACTGCCTATACTGACTTCTATCTGTACTGTCACTGTCTATACTGACTGCTGTCTGTACTATCACTGTCTATACTGACTTCTATCTGTACTATCACTGCCCATACTGACTTCTATCTGTACTATCACTGCCCATACTGACTTCTATCTGTACTATCACTGCCCATACTGACTTCTATCTGTACTATCACTGCCCATACTGACTGCTATCTGTACTATCACTGCCTATACTGACTGCTGTCTTTACTATCACTGCCTATGCTGACTGCTGTCTGTATTATCACTGCCTATACTGACTGCTGTCTGTACTATCACCACCTATACTGACTGCTGTCTGTACTATCACTGCCTATACTGACTGCTGTCTGTACTATCACTGCCTATACTGACTGCTGTCTGTACTATCACTGCCTATACTGACTGCTGTCTGTACTATCACTGTCTATACTGACTGCTATCTGTACTATCACCGCCTATACTGACTGCTGTCTGTATTATCACTGCCTATACTGACTGCTATCTGTACTGTCACTGCCTATACTGACTGCTGTCTGTACTATCAATGTTTATACTGACTGCTGTCTGTACTGTCACTACCTATACTGACTTCTCTTTGTACTATTACCGCCCATACTGACTGCTGTCTTTACTATCACTGCCTATACTAACTGCTGTCAGTGCTGTCACTGCATTTACTGACTGCTATCTGTACTGTCACCGCCTATACTGACTGCTGTCTGTACTATCACTGCCTATACTGACTGCTGTCTGTATTATCACTGCCTTACTGACTGCTGTCTGTACTATCACTGCCTATACTGACTGCTGTCTGTATTATCACTGTCTATACTGACTGCTGTCTGTACTATCACCGCCTATACTGACTGCTGTCTGTATTATTACTGCCTATACTGACTGCTGTCTGTACTGTCACTGCCTTACTGACTGCTGTCTGTACTATCACTGTTTATACTGACTGCTGTCTGTTCTGTCACTGCCTTACTGACTGCTGTCTGTACTATCACCGCCTATACTGACTGCTGTCTATACTATCACTGTCTATACTGACTGCTGTCTGTACTATCACCGCCTATACTGACTGCTGTCTGTACTATCACCACCTATACTGACTGCTGTCTGTACTGTCACTGCCTATACTGACTGCTGTCTGTACTATCACCGCCTATACTGACTGCTGTCTATACTATCACTGTCTATGCTGACTGCTGTCTGTACTATCACTGCCTATACTGACTGCTGTCTGTACTATCACTGCCTATACTGACTGCTGTCTGTACTATCACTGTCTATACTGACTGCTGTCTGTACTATCACTGCCTATACTGACTGCTGTCTGTACTATCACTGCCTATACTGACTGCTGTCTGTACTGTCACTGCCTATACTGACTGCTGTCTGTACTATCAATGTTTATACTGACAGCTGTCTGTACTGTCACTGCCTATACTGACTGCTGTCTGTACTATCACCGCCTATACTGACTGCTGTCTGTACTATCACTGCCTATACTGACTGCTGTCTGTACTATCACTGCCTATGCTGACTGCTGTCTGTACTATCACTGTGCCTATGCTGACTGCTGTCTGTACTATCACTGCCTATGCTGACTGCTGTCTGTACTATCACTGCCTATACTGACTGCTGTCTGTACTATCACTGCCCATACTGACAGCTGTCTGTACTATCACTGCCTATACTGACTGCTGTCTGTATTATCACTGCCTATACTGACAGCTGTCTGTATTATCACTGCCTATACTGACAGCTGTCTGTATTATCACTGCCTATACTGACTGCTGTCTGTACTATCAATGTTTATACTGACAGCTGTCTGTACTGTCACTGCCTATACTGACAGCTGTCTGTACTATCACCGCCTATACTGACTGCTGTCTGTATTATCACTGCCTATACTGACTGCTGTCTGTATTATCACTGCCTATACTGACTGCTGTCTGTACTATCACTGCCTATACTGACTGCTGTCTGTACTGTCACTGCCTATACTGACTGCTGTCTGTACTATCAATGTTTATACTGACAGCTGTCTGTATTATCACTGCCTATACTGACAGCTGTCTGTACTATCACTGCCTATACTGACTGCTGTCTGTATTATCACTGCCTATACTGACAGCTGTCTGTATTATCACTGCCTATACTGACTGCTGTCTGTACTATCACTGCCTATACTGACTGCTGTCTGTACTGTCACTGCCTATACTGACTGCTGTCTGTATTATCACTGCCTATACTGACTGCTGTCTGTACTATCACCGCCTATACTGACTGCTGTCTGTATTATCACTGCCTATGCTGACTGCTGTCTGTATTATCACTGCCTATACTGACTGCTGTCTGTACTATCACTGCCTATACTGACTGCTGTCTGTACTATCACCGCCTATACTGACTGCTGTCTGTATTATCACTGCCTATACTGACTGCTGTCTGTACTATCACTGCCTATACTGACTGCTGTCTGTACTATCACTGCCTATACTGACTGCTGTCTGTACTATCACTGCCTATACTGACTGCTGTCTGTACTATCACTGCCTATACTGACTGCTGTCTGTACTATCACTGCCTATACTGACTGCTGTCTGTACTATCACTGCCTATACTGACTGCTGTCTGTATTATCACTGCCTATACTGACTGCTGTCTGTACTATCACTGCCTATACTGACTGCTGTCTGTACTATCACTACCTATACTGACTGCTGTCTGTACTGTCACTGCCTATGCTGACTGCTGTCTGTACTATCACTGCCTATGCTGACTGCTGTCTGTACTGTCACTGCCTATGCTGACTGCTGTCTGTACTATCACTGCCTATGCTGACTGCTGTCTGTACTATCACTGCCTATGCTGACTGCTGTCTGTACTATCACTGCCTATGCTGACTGCTGTCTGTACTATCACTGCCTATGCTGACTGCTGTCTGTACTATCACTGCCTATGCTGACTGCTGTCTGTACTATCACTGCCTATGCTGACTGCTGTCTGTACTATCACTGCCTATGCTGACTGCTGTCTGTACTATCACTGCCTATACTGACTGCTATCTGTATTATCACTGCCTATACTGACTGCTGTCTGTATTATCACTGCCTATACTGACTGCTATCTGTATTATCACTGCCTATACTGACTGCTGTCTGTATTATCACTGCCTATACTGACTGCTGTCTGTATTATCACTGCCTATACTGACTGCTATCTGTATTATCACTGCCTATACTGACTGCTGTCTGTATTATCACTGCCTATACTGACTGCTATCTGTATTATCACTGCCTATACTGACTGCTGTCTGTATTATCACTGCCTATACTGACTGCTATCTGTATTATCACTGCCTATACTGACTGCTGTCTGTATTATCACTGCCTATACTGACTGCTATCTGTATTATCACTGCCTATACTGACTGCTATCTGTATTATCACTGCCTATACTGACTGCTGTCTGTATTATCACTGCCTATACTGACTGCTGTCTGTACTATCACTGCCTATGCTGACTGCTATCTGTATTATCACTGCCTATACTGACTGCTATCTGTATTATCACTGCCTATACTGACTGCTGTCTGTACTATCACTGCCTATGCTGACTGCTATCTGTATTATCACTGCCTATACTGACTGCTGTCTGTATTATCACTGCCTATACTGACTGCTGTCTGTATTATCACTGCCTATACTGACTGCTGTCTGTATTATCACTGCCTATACTGACTGCTGTCTGTACTATCACTGCCTATGCTGACTGCTATCTGTATTATCACTGCCTATACTGACTGCTGTCTGTATTATCACTGCCTATACTGACTGCTGTCTGTATTATCACTGCCTATACTGACTGCTGTCTGTATTATCACTGCCTATACTGACTGCTGTCTGTATTATCACTGCCTATACTGACTGCTGTCTGTACTGTCACTGCCTATACTGACTGCTGTCTGTATTATCACTGCCTATACTGACTGCTGTCTGTACTATCACTGCCTATACTGACTGCTGTCTGTATTATCACTGCCTATACTGACTGCTGTCTGTATTATCACTGCCTATACTGACTGCTGTCTGTACTATCACTGCCTATACTGACTGCTGTCTGTATTATCACTGCCTATACTGACTGCTGTCTGTACTATCACTGCCTATACTGACTGCTATCTGTATTATCACTGCCTATACTGACTGCTGTCTGTATTATCACTGCCTATACTGACTGCTGTCTGTACTATCACTGCCTATACTGACTGCTGTCTGTACTATCACTGCCTATACTGACTGCTATCTGTACTATCACTGCCTATACTGACTGCTGTCTGTACTATCACTGCCTATACTGACTGCTGTCTGTACTATCACTGCCTATACTGACTGCTATCTGTACTATCACTGCCTATGCTGACTGCTGTCTGTATTATCACTGCCTATACTGACTGCTGTCTGTACTATCACCGCCTATACTGACTGCTGTCTGTACTATCACCGCCTATGCTGACTGCTGTCTGTACTATCACTGCCTATGCTGACTGCTGTCTGTACTATCACTGCCTATGCTGACTGCTGTCTGTACTATCACTGCCTATACTGACTGCTGTCTGTACTATCACTGCCTATGCTGACTGCTGTCTGTACTATCACTGCCTATACTGACTGCTGTCTGTACTATCACTGCCTATGCTGACTGCTGTCTGTACTATCACTGCCTATGCTGACTGCTGTCTGTACTATCACTGCCTATGCTGACTGCTGTCTGTACTATCACTGCCTATACTGACTGCTGTCTGTATTATCACTGCCTATACTGACTGCTGTCTGTATTATCACTGCCTATACTGACTGCTGTCTGTACTATCACCGCCTATGCTGACTGCTGTCTGTACTATCACTGCCTATGCTGACTGCTGTCTGTATTATCACCGCCTATGCTGACTGCTGTCTGTATTATCACCACCTATACTGACTGCTGTCTGTACTATCACCACCTAAACTGACTGCTGTCTGTATTATCACCACCTATACTGACTGCTGTCTGTACTATCACCACCTAAACTGACTGCTGTCTGTATTATCACCACCTATGCTGACCTATTTAAAAACATGAGTCAGCTTGAACCCTCTCCCGCTATGGATGAATAAATGTTTTTTGTTTAAACCTCAATACTTTTGCACATCATTTTTAAAATTGAATTGTAAATTTTTCATCTTTTTTTTTTCTGCAGGAAATGGATGATGTAAAATCCTTTATACAGAACGTGTTAAAAGATTCCTGAAATGCGGTCCTCCAGACATGTTGTTAGTCCAGTTTCGGATGTCACAATCTCCTGAACCAAGGCTGTTGATGATAAATACACACCACTGTTGTGTATTAGCACACTTGATCATTTTATGTATAAACTCACTACAAGTCATGTTTTTGTGTGTGTACAAATAAGTTCACAGAATATACTGCTAGAGTTGTTTGCGGTTTCGCATGTCCATTTTCCCAAGTCATCCATATTTTTTTTGCTGTTATAAATCGTTTTTGCTTTAAAAGAATCTTGTCTGTAAATTTGCAAAAGTAAGTCATTGGTTGCATTTGTCTTTTTTCCCCAGCATACTGTGTAGGTGAAAGTATATTTTATTCATGTGTTGTATATTTTACTTGATCCCACATTACTGTCTTTTCTTCCACGTGTCCTGCATGTATTGAAATGTGCCCTTCCACCCAGTTTTGGGGTTACCCTAGTATAGAACACTAAACCTGAATGTTTTCAGAATCAATTGAACAACACAAACCAGCCAACATATGTTTTTGTCCTGCAGTATTTGTTAGATCAGAAGTCCAGGATTGAAGCTATGCATAGAAGACAAGAGATGTGCGTTCTTCCAGAAATATATGAATGGATGAAACTAAATCAAAAGTGAAAGCCAAGTTCATTTTTTATCCATATTTGTGTTTGTAATTCTGAGTAGGGTTACACATTTCTTGTCTTCAATTAATATGATGTTTTTTTTGGAATTGCACAAAGTCCTAATCCAATAGTGATTTCCATGTTTGTGTTCTTATTTATTCTACAAGATCATTGATAATACACCTGCTTATGCTGTCTTGTCTTTGTGAAGTCTCTGAGTCTGTGTCATTGTGCTGGCCTCTTCTACTGCCTGTGTCACTGTGCTGGCCTCTTCTACTGCCTGTGTCATTGTGCTGGCCTCTTCTACTGCCTGTGTCATTGTGCTGGCCTCTTCTACTGCCTGTGTCACTGTGCTGGCCTCTTCTACTGCCTGTGTCACTGTGCTGGCCTCTTCTACTGCCTGTGTCACTGTGCTGGCCTGCCTGCCTGTGTCACTGTGCTGGCCTCTTCTACTGCCTGTGTCACTGTGCTGGCCTCTTCTACTGCCTGTGTCACTGTGCTGGCCTCTTCTACTGCCTGTGTCACTGTGCTGGCCTCTTCTACTGCCTGTGTCACTGTGCTGGCCTCTTCTACTGCATTTTTAGGCTGGAAGTCTTGGTTATGGAATGTTTAATGACCTAGTTCATGCCATGAACTTTCTCTCTGGGTAGATATTATTATAGTATTTTTATGTGTTGAAGTTGGGGGGGGGGGGGGAGCAGTCACCAGTTGAAATGTTCTCACCCAAATCTGTCCTGCTATAATTGGTTCCCGAGACGCTGTGGCTTGCTGTGTGCACTTGAGATGACTTGAAATTGTGTAGATGTTGTTTAGTTGTTTCTACAGTCATACCAGTTAAAAATGGTGTTATTTTGTCCTAGGGTGCCAAGCATAAACAAATTTATATACACATAGCTCTTTTTTTTTTAACTGCCAACAGTAAATGTAGGCTTTTAGCAGCATTCTGTAGAATCCCTACAGGTGCCCAAAGGGAGAACTTTACTCTTGCAGAAAATGTCTCAAGTGCCAAATGTGTGTGGTAAGATAAACTGTCCTGTGTAAGGGGGAAATATATATAAGGGCTAAGATGGTACTACAGAAACATCAGTATGAAACTCGTGGAATGGGTTCGATTCATTGAAGTGAATTAGGAGGTGAGAGGAAGTTGTTGGTATGTGTTGAAGAGATGTGTTGGTTAGATCATGCTGTAGTTATACTAGATATATAACAAGCTGATCAAGACAGTGTTCTGTTAATGGTTGTAGCACGAGCCTCATAAATGAGTGCTGTTGGTTAGATCATGCTGTGGTTGCACAAGATATATTACAGGCTGATCAAGTCAGTGTTCTGGTAATGGTTGTTGCAAGTGCTTCATAGATGCAGTGCTGTTGGTTAGATCATGCTGTAGTTGTACTAGATATATTACGAGCTGATCAAGTCAGTGTTCTGGTAATGGTTGTTGCCTGTGCCTCATACTTAGATTGTTGTTGGTTGTACCAGTACTGCAGTTAAGCATGTTGTCATTGTCTCGTACATGCTGTACTGTTGGTTAGATCAGTGCTTTAGTTGAGAATGCATTGTATGTGAATCTGCATTGTTTTGTACTGTTCTGTTTCTCTACTTTAACATTGTTTAGTATCATTGTTGTAGTTGGGAATGGGTATTATGTGAGCTTTGATATGTTATCTTTAGTTTCTTCCGTTTAGCACCGTTAGCTGTATCACTTGTAATTCAGCAAGAATTGCTGGGTGTTTCTTACCTATACACATTTGTCTTCATCAGCACTGCTGCTCCTTCTTCTGCTTATCATCTTCTTATGACACACAGGTTCCCTTAGTCCACACTCAAGCCATTTGTAAACTTGTTCAGGATTGGCTGGAGTTTTCTAATGGAGGCCAGTCTTATGGCAACTGTTTAGTCAGGTCTTACGGCATTGCAGTTCCTGCCTAGCGCATTCTTCAGTTTACTTTGCAACCATCAGAAGCCCTTATATTATATCACTACAGTTGAATGAGGCTGACCAGAATTGATCTAAGTAGGTGTCACATTCTGGGGCTCTAATCCTGCAAACTGCAATCCTAAAGGGAACAAACTGCAGGCAGGTATTTTCAGCCATGGTGGCTTAGTGGCTGGACACTTAACTGACATCCTGAAAGTGTTGGGTTCAAATCCACATGAGTCACTTGGAAGGGGGGGGGTCAAGATCAGCTTTGGCTGCCAACTTGACCCAGCCTAAAACGGGTGTCAGGTAATGTCTTGGGAAGTAAAGGTGGCAGGCAAGATGTTGACCAAATCCTCCATCAAGAAGGAGTTGCTCTACACAAATATGACTTTAGCATCATATGTTCTACTGCTGTGAGAAGTTCCTTGGCTTCCCTTGTTACTTACTGCACTAATATTTGGTGAGCTACAGTTGCTGTTCTTTGCTTCCCCAGTTACTTACCACAATATACATCTTAGACTACAGTTACTGTTCTTTGCTTGCCCTGTGGGCTGGTGTAACATATTGGCATTTCAGTGGGGCTGAAATTGACATGTTAGTCTCATAGGGCTACAAGTTGAAGGGTGTACCACCTGGTTTAGTGCTTTTGTGTAGGGAACTGGATACTTGCTTCTGATGTGTGGATTTGGATCTGATGTTAATTTGTGGATCAAAAAGCTGATAATGGTGATGTGTAGTGAAGTGAATTTGTCAACTGTATAACACTAATAAACATAGAACTATACTCCAGGAATAAGAGTTCACATTTGTTCTACAGTCTTTCTGCTTTATTTGTGTGTAAATTGGCCTGGTTTGGTAGTGTTTATGTTGTTTTGGAATGATGCTATCTAATAACTATAAAGTTACAGGATAATAAAATCTGATCTCGGGGCTACCAAAGGGTAGCTTTTATAAATATGTATTTAACATATTTTTATATGAACATGTTAAATAACTTTCACATGTGTCAATTTAGGCTGGTGAACTTAGGAGCCTCTGACAGTTTTTAAAACATTCCACCATCAAGAGGGTTTGAAATAAATAACCACAGTACTGATGAATGGTGTGCGGGTCACTGTACTACCACAGTACTGATGGATGGTGTGTGGGTCACTGTACTACCACAGTGCTGATGAATGGTGTGTGGGTCACTGTACTACCACAGTGCTGATGTATGGTGTGTGGGTCACTGTACTACCACAGCACTGATGAATGATGTGTGGGTCACTGTACTACCACAGAATGGTGTGATGGGTGTGGTGGGGGTCACTGTACTACCACAGTGCTGATGTATGGTGTGTGGGTCACTGTACTACCACAGCACTGATGAATGATGTGTGGGTCACTGTACTACCACAGTGCTGATGAATGGTGTGTGGGTCACTGTACTACCACAGTGCTGATGTATGGTGTGTGGGTCACTACTACCACAGTGCTGATGAATGGTGTGTGGGTCACTGTACTACCACAGTGCTGATGAATAGTGTGTGGGTCACTACTACCACAGTACTGATGAATGGTGTGTGGGTCACTACTACCACAGTGCTGATGAATGGTGTGTGGGTCACTGTACTACCACAGTACTGATAAATGGTGTGTGGGTCACTGTACTACCACAGTGCTGATGAATGGTGTGTGGGTCACTACTACCACAGTGCTGATGAATGGTGTGCGGGTCACTGTACTACCACAGTGCTGATGTATGGTGTGCGGGTCACTGTACTACCTCAGTGCTAATAAATGGTGTGTGGGTCACTACTACCACAGTGCTGATGAATGGTGTGTGGGTCACTACTACCACAGTGCTGATGAATGGTGTGTGGGTCACTGTACTACCACAGTGCTAATGAATGGTGTGTGGGTCACTACTACCACAGTGCTGATGTATGGTGTGTGGGTCACTGTACTACCACAGTGCTGATGAATGGTGTGTGGGTCACTGTACTACCACAGTACTGATGAATGGTGTGTGGGTCACTGTACTACCACAGTGCTGATGAATGGTGTGTGGGTCACTGTAATACCACAGTGCTGATGAATGGTGTGTGGGTCACTGTAATACCACAGTGCTGATGAATGGTGTGTGGGTCACTACTACCACAGTGCTGATAAATGGTGTGTGGGTCACTGTACTACCACAGTACTGATAAATGGTGTGTGGGTCACTGTACTACCACAGTGCTGATGAATGGTGTGTGAGTCACTACTACCACAGTGCTGATGAATGGTGTGTGGGTCACTGTACTACCACAGTGCTGATGTATGGTGTGCGGGTCACTGTACTACCTCAGTGGTGTAATAAATGGTGTGTGGGGGTCACTGTCACTACTACCACAGTGCTGATGAATGGTGTGTGTTGTCACTACTACCACAGTGCTGATGAATGGTGTGTGGGTCACTGTACTACCACAGTGCTAAT